CTTTCGAGTCTGCTTTTCTTGGCTGCTACGAAGATCTGGAACTAATACAAAATCTCTTTCAGTGACAAGGATGCATTCTCGCCGAAAGCAATAGTATTCAAGAAGGTGGGCCTATCCAACCAGTTTGTCGAAATCCAGTATGCCGAAATCCAGTTTGCCGAATCCAGTTGTTTACTGAAATCATGAAATCCCAGTTTGCAGAAACTCAGTTTTCCGAAACCCAGTCGAAATCTCTGTGTTACAAAAGTACAGCATACTGTGCCTTTGAAAGCTTCATTTGAGAGCTTCATATGTGTACAAATTAAAAGGAAAAATATTGGAAGACAAAAAAGCTGTAGAAAAACACACTTGAAAGCATGGCTATCAAGTTAAAATTAGAATAAAATGAAATGAAATTAAGGATAAGCATCGTATCCTTCTAAAATACTCCCTCTGCAAACCCTATCAGGATTGTTGTGTCAGGTCCCTGACCACCGAGGTTCTAGTCGGCCCCTTGAGTCAGACCCCCTTTCGACAAATTTCAGGAGCCACAATTGGCATGTGTGCATAATTGTAGATTATTATTAATTTGTTTATTTCCTTCATTATTTTTTTTTAAATAAATTTATGTATTTACCATAGGTATGCTGATAAAACGTTTTAACTGCGAGGCCTATTAAATTGACTTTTATTTGCTGATAGCCAATTGATTTACATATTAAAACAAAAAGAATCATTTAACTACAATAAGCCGCTATTTCTTATACGAATACATAGTAAGAGAGTTAGAGAGTGTTCCAACATATATGCTGTGTTTAATGTTTTACATACTGCTTTTATTATATTTTCGACAAAGAGGGTTTCAGGGCAAACTGGGTTTCAAGAAACTGGGATTCGTAATTTTTGATTCAGAAAACTGGCATTCGGCAAACTGTGTTTTGGCAAAATGAACTCGAAAATCGGGCAAACCTGGAGTTTTACAATCTGGTGTAGAACCACCAGAAAGAAGCCGACACGAAGGTCTTCCTTTATGCAAAGCATACGAATAACAACCAAGGCAAAGCAATCATCCGTTCCCTTTCTCGAGACATCAGACAATTACACCCCGGCTTTCTTTCGTAAAGGAAAACATAGCTTCTCTAATCATAAACTGAGTTTGTTGAAACTTTCAGCAACTTCGGAGTTTTAGATGTTCTGTCACAAAAGGTGTATGAAGAACAAGAGTATGTCTTACTGCTGCTTGGAGTTAAGGAGAAAAGTGTAAATCAAGCAAGTAACATGTTCAAGAAAGTTTTGCAGAGGCAAGATCACTGACATATCATTGTTGCCACCATGTTAGCAGAATTTCGAGCTTCAGATACTTAGCAAACTCAATCGTTCAAGAATGAAAATAAGCAGAGGTAAATGACTGTCAATAAAAAAAGTTGATGGAACAGATGGAATAAACAAATTCCCATGGAAGTAAAAGAATTGTTCATACGATAAATACGAAGACTTTCAGATCGCAGTGATAAAATCGATACCTGAAGATTATTGCTCAACATAGGGCTACACAGTTAAACACTACAAGACAAATATTGTAGTAAATAAATTGATGCCTTCTTCATACATGAAAATTGTGGTAGTTGTCTGGAATACCTTGTATAGCACACAGAAATAATGAAAAACAACCGGATATTTGTTAGGAAGCTGGATTGTTTTTTAGCATTCTGGTGATATTTTCCATTCTTAAAACAGATAAGGGCTAATATAAGGGGGCATTTTTACTTACATTTTCAAAAGTGAGTTAGCTTACACTCCTAAAATATGTGCTTACACCCCTAAAATATGTTGTTTTAGGTTTAAAAAGTCAACAGCAGTTATTACGTTCATGTTTTTTAAATGAAAAAAATTATCTAGGGTATTGAAGCTGCTGTTAAATTGTTATTTAATTTTGGCGGCCATTTTAAAAAGTGCCATCAATTGCCTCCCGAAATCTTCACATTAATAACTTTAGCTGGTTATATTTTACTCCTATCATTACATATTCAAAAGTTGGTCTCTTCTGTGCTTATTTTACCCATATTATATGTAGTTTATTTAAATTTGGTGGCCATTTTGAAAAAGCGCCCTCACACGAAAGTTTTCAGGTTACACCCCTTTTACCTCACATATTCTGATTCCCCATAAAAAAACTGGTCTAGAAAAACCATATGAGAATTTCTACCTCTCCAAGTGGCACCTATCTCAGTTATAGCCTGGTCTATAGGAAGTGACATTGTTTTTAGTTGTGAGAAAAATTCCTTTTGTGATAGGATTTGAACCCAGGACCCTGGGATTAAATAGCAAACATCTTAACCACTAAGCTATTCAACCCAAATCCAAATGGCAATGTCTTTTTAATAATCCATTGTTTTTTTTTTTCTTTTTCTTCTAGAGATGAGTTAAGGAGATGGTTCATAACTCAAGAACTTGAGTTGTTTCGATTTCGGTTCCTAGACGAAAACGTTGATCTCAGAACACAGTTTTTGATTGACAACGATCTCAACTATGAGCCTGTAAGTATTCCAACAACTTACTGATGTTGCTTGTTAGGGGAGTTGTGGTTGGTTTGGTTGTGGTATTTGCATTTCACCCCTTGACCTTCAGGTCAATCACAACATATACCATGGGTTCTCAAGTATATCGTAAAAGGGGCCAAGTTTGTAAATTGAATCAATTTGAAGGTCCGATGATCATGTAAGGTCACAAATTGACTTGGTTTAGAGGGGCGTGGCCACTCCCACTTGAAATTTAAAAAAATTGTAATGGACTGTGAAATGATGTAATTATAGGCCTAGCAAACTTAACTATTATAATTATTTTAGGCTTTTTGTAACAGGCCAGGTACATGTAACATCCACTTGCAGGTCACACATTTAGCTTTACATAATTTAATACTCTAGCTGATGTTCAATTAAATATTCATCTTTTGTTATTCTGAAAAGTTACAATAATAATAATGATACTACTACTAATAATAATAATAAACCGACATTTACGGTGCACCAGTATTCGTTGTAGACGCTCATGGCGCATGTCTGAGCTATAGGCCTAGATAAATAAACAAATAAATAAATAAACAACTTAAAAATAATAATAATGACATCTTATAAGGCGCATGTATCCATCTCATAGAGAGCTGCTCGCGGCACCATTTCCACCTGAAAAGGAGCAGCAGCCTTTTCTGCATTTTTTTTTTAATTTTTAAAATGTTTTTGTTTTTTTTAATTTTTTGAATAATGTAGTTTTAAATATACATTTATTATTAACTTAACTAGTCTGGGAAAACAGGCAAAAACAAGCGCTTGATCTCGTAGGGGTCATCCATCCATCACCACTCTGTTGTGTTCCCGAACTTTTACCTAGGTGGCTCGAACAAATCAACGGGTAACACATTTGCCCTGCCACAGACGAATGGGTGCAGACCCCTAGAAATAAATGCAGACTTGACAAGTAATAACAAGAAATTAGGGAACAATTTCTTGACAAATTAATCAAAAGTAGGGACAAGAAAAATGTCTTGGGGAAGTTAATATCAGATATTTCCCTCTGTGGCTTGGGAAAAAAAATGCCAATAACTTATAGAGATCAATTGGCACAGAAAAACCAAGTGTCCATAATGGGACTCCACCATGTGATATCAAAATCGCATCGCTGTCACGCTATATATAATCACTTTATATGTATAATCGCTTTTATTACATTTTTAAATTTCATTAGCTTTAATTAACATCAATAATGAACAATGTATCCAACATTTTATTCTTGCACACACACATATCACCACTTTCAATCTTGTAATTTTGCAGAATAATTTTGTTTTTTTAATAGATTGATGCACAAGAGAAGGAAGCAATTAAAAAGCAGTTGGTTGAATCCAGTTACAGCATGACAGAAATGAGTATTGCAGGAGTAGATTTTTATAAGGTCAGTGTTTACAGTATATACTTGAATATATTTCTTGGCTTTATGAACAGTGCTCGGACAATAGCTGAAAAGTATAGTAAAATATTTAGAGGTATGTTGTGTTTACTATTTATGGGAGCATTAAACGCTTTACAGATTATCAAATTTTCATTGATAAAATTATTTTATGCCCATATATAGTCATGATGTGCTTATATATGGTCCTGATGTGATATGTCACATACAGTACACAACTTGACAATGTGCGCAAGGCTTAGTTATAAGTACAGTAACATCTCTCAATTACGAACTCCAAAGATAAAAGTAAAATCCAAGTCATTTTTTGTGACAGAATTTTACTCCCATAGCAAGGCTTAGGTCTACCTAGCCCTACTTGTAGCATAGGCCTAGGCTCCTCACCACACTGAGATGCTATGAAATTTGAAAGTTCTGAATTATGAATTTTCTTAATTACGAACTCTGTTTGGACAGAGGGTTACGTAATTGGGATATGTTACCGTATATTTCTGATCAAAACAAACTATTGGCTATCCATATCTGATGGCTATACTGCTTTACTGTACTGATGATATCTGATCAAACATTTTAGAGATTGGCAGACAGAATCCTTATAACATATGGTAGGCTTTTATTTTGTTGTTGTCAGTATTATCGCAAACATTAACTGTATTATAACTTAACTATCTATTATTTTAAAATTTTCTTACAAGGTTCCTTTCACTGAAGCACTCGATCTTGTCAGATTGAGGAAGATTTTTGTTAAGAAGGTAAGTATTGAGGCCACCAGTTATTTTTACTTTTACGCTTTAGGCCTACTGTACTCTGATTGAAGGAGTTCTAGATTTGTACACAAGTACTAGTGAAGGGCTAGTGAATCTTTTTGGTGAGAATAGGCAATTATTTAGTTTATCCACATAAGTATCCACTCATAGACTACCAATATAACCCTTGATTTGTGTAATTCAATCTTTGAGTGATGAAGCATTTTTAGTAGCATGGAAAAATATTGGTGGAAGGCATTTAGGAGGTGATTGGAATGTGTTAATCTACACGAATGATCATAATGATGGCAATGAGAATGTTGATGATCTTGACATCATCTTATGAAGATGATGCTGACATGCTCATGAATTTGGTAATGATAATGAATGCGATGACAATATATATCCTGATGTATGATGGAGTATTATTATTGGTGATGGTAGTGATAATAATAATGGTGATGATGAAGATGATGGGTATGATGATGTTAATAATAATAATAATAATAATAATAATAATAATAATAGTTCATTCTTATGTAGCGCATATATACAAACAGAATAAAAATATGGATATAATCTTAAATTAAAGCAAAAATTGATTGAAACAATGATTAATTTTTGTCGGGTAATAATGATGCTTATCATGATATATACTTCAGATAATGATTAATGTCAGTGGTATTGCCATTTGATAATCCATATTTTTTCCAGGGCTATGCATACGTACCGAACAATGAGCTAGTGTCAATTGTATTGAGCGCGTACCGTGCTCACCTGTCACATGCACTTGCCCTGACGGCGCGAGCGGTTCCACAACTTGAAGAAGACAACCGACTTCTCCCTCTTCTCAACAATCTAAGTAAGCAGTACCTTGGACAGGACTATGGAAACAAGCAGACAAATGCTGGTAAAGTTTCCATAGGGGAATTGGAAAGTGTGAGTAGTGATTATTAAATTTTATATTTTCCATTAATTGCACACGCACAAATAGGGAGAGCTGGAGTAGATTAATAAAGTGAAGACGTCTGACCTGGTGCGGACGTCTCCTTCACCTACACCCTAATATTCCAGTGCAAAGGGCTCTTTCCTAATCAATAAAAAAAATGTCAGATGACCAATAGATTGACTGAAAACCAAATGGATAAACCCAATTGAGAGGGACACTGTTAGAATATAACTAGGTCTGTGCACATACTGGCTAATGATCACTCCGATCATTAGCCATTGGATAAGTCGTGTTGAGTGCGCTATTGCAGGTTTAGCATTGATAAGGATGATGATGATTACATTAATTGTTGCATTTTTTATCTATGGTTTGTTATGATGATATTTTATATTGAATAAAGTCAAGTCTATAATTAGAACCAATTTATCCCTAACACCTTGGCCCATTGTCAGAATTTTTTTTTTTGTGAAATTATTATAAACTATAAAACCTCAAAGAGAAGCACAATGGGCTTAATCTCGAGAAGAAGCTCATCTCGAATTGAAGCCTCCTTGTTAGTTTGCAAAAGTAGCCTCAAAAAGAGGCCCATCTAAAAAAGAAGCGCATAGGCTCCTTTTTAAGATCGTACAGTACATACACTGTACATGAATTTCAAACAAACAAAATAAATTAAACGCACTTTGGTTTATACAGTTGATTAGGTGATTTAATGTCGGTTAATACACTACATGATGCAGACTGTTGTTATAGTGGCCCTATTTAATGTTTTATACACCCCATGAAGTTAGGAAAAAATTAGGTCGGCAAAAATTTGCCGACCTTAAATTCTCCGAGGTTGGCAGCCTCGGCAATTTTTTACTACCTAGGCCTATATAGTATAAACTATGATTTTTCCGAATGCTCGACCTTACATCGTCATCTACAGATTGTGATTTTGTTAACTTCTCTTAAATCAATATATTGCTGGTGAAAGAATGGTCATACTTTTATTAATTTAATAGTGTAGTATAATATTATGTTTTACATAAGAAAATCGCCGAATAAATTTCGTTTTAGCGTTCGTTTTTTATCGTTATTTTTGGCATGGGAACTTTCGTAAAAGCTACGATCGTATCATCACAGCATCACAGGAGGCTGCTTCAAAACTGCCCATGCATGTCCTTGCGCATGCCCAGAATGATCTAGCAGGGATTTTCAACACATGTACAGTACTTGTCAGTAGTGAAGTCAGGATGCGATCGTGATTGCGTTTAAACGGACGATAGGATTAGGCTTACAATATGTTGAATGTTGTTGTTTTTAGATAATAAACAACATTTTAAATATGATAATAATATAGAAAAATAATTAGATTTAGGTAAGCATTACAATCTACGCGTTCCACATGGCTTCAATTGGGCGATGTTGTAGACCTTGGCTGGCTAGCGTCATTCCTACAGTAGGCCTAGCCTATGAAACGACTAGGCGAGATTGAAAGACAAGATGATTGTACGCAAATTGTACGTACTGCATGCCAGTTAGAAATAGTTATTGTACAAACAAGTCTGTTTTATGAACCACCAATTTCCTTGGTTTGACAACGTACATGAAACTTAGTGTATGCTATAGCCTGTTTTAATAGTAAAAGTTTTTGACTTTCCAAGCAGTTTTTGAAGCAAAGAAATCTTGGCCTACTGTAGTTCGGCAAAAAATTGCCATCCTGTAGCAATTCTGGCTTGGCAATATGGTCGGCAATTGCCGATTGCCGACGTGAAATTCGTGGGCTGTTTATAGTAGTAATTCCCAAAATTTACGGCATTCATTTTGAAAAGAAGTGCCCCGTCCTCTCCCCCCCCCCCAACATCATTACTTTGCAAAAGTAGCCTTGAAAAGAAGCCCATCTAAAGTTCGCAAATAAAAGAGCCCTGGGCTTCTATTGAAGGTTTTACGTTATGTTAAGATAGGTCTGTTACTTTGGTCAGTGCTCTATACCCAATAAATAAAATATTGTTTGTTTGGTTTATGTCTTTTTTCGCACACAAAGTATAATACAGTATAATTTATAAATAATATATAAGAATACAATTCAGGAAATGCAATAATAAAAAAAATGTGATGAAGACGAAAATAACTTTGAAAACAAACAAATATACTATTAACTTGTTTTTCTCGGTTATAACAGTTATCTCGCAAGTCCTTCCCACTGTGCATGCGCCACCTACACGCTTCCTTGAAGGAGAATCATCACCTCCGCTACTGGGGGCGTATGCAGTACGGCCTCTTTCTCAAAGCCATTGGGATCACGTTAGAACAAGCACTCATATTTTGGAGGTCAGAGTTCAGTAAGGTGATGGATGTTGATAAGGTACATGGCATTCTTAAACAGATATAATTAATAACATTTGTATATTCTTTGGATCGAATCTGTAAATTGAATGAATATTCATAAAGTAAAAACTGTGTCTTGATATGTGTTTATTGAAACTTGAAAAGGTACTTGATAATTTTAAAGCCAGGCTTCATAGGAAGAAAAGCTTTTGATATGTTGTGCAACTGAGTTTTCTAATTATGTCTTATTATAAGACACAAAAAGTTTGTTTAACTTAAAACTCAGGCAGATTTTTGTATATTTAAAAACTATTGGGGAAAGAAAATGTGGGCACGCCCCTTTTTTCCTCAGTTTTTAAATATACAAAAATCTGTATCTCATTTACCATTCCCAAGTTTTTTCCTCAAACAATCTTTTTTTTGTCTTAGAAAAATCAGTTGTACAGCATATAAAAAAAGTTTTCTTCCAGAGTCAGGCTTAAGCGAGACATTCCATGTTTCAGTTGAGTGTTTTAAGGATTATTTTTTGGACGATATCGCAGATGGGATCAGGACAGGAAAGTGGCTCTATAAACATGACCTAAGAGGTCCTTACTTAAAACCACATTATGAAATTATAGATCAAAGATGATTTTATGAATAGACATAGCAAACCACAAATACAGTGGTAGTACTTTTATTGTGTGTAATAGATTTAAAAACAAAAGAGATATTATGTATTAGAGATGTATAGTCGCATGCTAAATACCAAAAAAATCATAAAAATATTTTTAAAAATTAACCTGCCCATTTTGAAGTAACATAAAAGTTATCAACTTGAACATAGAAATTAGTGTATTTAAAAAAACGTCTAACCATCAGTTTACAGCGAAAAATGATAGCAACACTTCCAGTCACTGGAAGTGTTTTATTATTTTTATTATAATTTTTTGGTTTAAAAATCAGGGTAAACATTTTTTTTAATTCTATAATTTCTATGCACAAGTTAATAATTTGTATGCTATTGCAATATGAGCAAGTTTATTTCAAAATTATTTTTTAATGATTTTTTGACATTAACAAGGGACGATACAAAGCAAAACAGAAACTACGTCATAGATAACTATGATGAAGCATATCCATACTGAAACAGGAAGTGTAATAATCTCTCACATTGCTGTATGACTAGATACCTGTGAGTATAATAAATATATAAATGTAAATATAAATAATTCCTGAATATTAGGAATATCTAGGATACTCGGGAAGCGTCATCCTCTAAGTATGGTAAAAAAAAATTTATTGTGTGTTCCGTGCCAAAGCTTTACTCTGAATCAAATGTGCAATGAACATTTATTGTGAAAAATATTTCCTTCTCTACTTTGTTTTAATAGTTTGACAAGCAGTATGCGTACAACATCCGCCACAACTATGGTAAAGAGGGCAAACGTGTTGATTACACGCCATACAGCTGTATGAAGATTATTATGTCCAATCCTCCCGCTACTGGGGACCATCACGGTAAGGCCTGGTTGTTCTGTGTGTGGTATATTTCAATACCTTGTTTAGCAAAACCTCTGATCGCCAATAATGATTTTGAATACAAATACAATTTTTTGGCCAGTTAGCACACCCTCCACCTCAAAAAATTGAAATTTCAGAAAAAAATATATATTTATATTTTTATTTATATTTATTATGCCCTCCGCTCTCTTGAAATCTAAAAAAAAAACATATTTTTCTTCCTTAATTAAATAAATTTAAAGCATATATCACTTGCATTTTTTACATTCAATACAATTTTATTTTTATTTTCTCATCTGCCTAGATGCTAAGAAAACAATTTTTCCACCCTGTGACGATCTTTAAAAAATTAAAAAAGTTTGCTTAAACAAGGTATTTTAAGCCTTACCAACCATATTGCTGGGCGTAAATAGTAATAATATGATGTCGCTCTTACATAGCGCTTCATGCACAATGCCTCTAAGCGCTTCACATTACTACCCCGGTCATTGGATCAAACACATATGGAACACTACTCAGCTCCCTGGGGAGAATTCCAACCGTAGATAATGTGCCTTGCCAAGAACACAAGCGATTTACGCAGCGAGAGTTTCGAACCCCTGACCTCGAGGTTGGGAGTCCAAGCCACAACCGATGCGCCAACCGCTTCCACATCCAATTATCACAGTAGTACTCCCAAGGGTAATAATAATAATAATAACTCCATTATTCTGTAGCACATTCCACAAAAAGGAAAGAAAATGAAAATGAAAGGAGTAAAGGTTTTACATATGTTGTTTAATAGGCTCCTAATGAACTTTGCAGATCAGTAAGAACTGTTTATTTATAAAATAGAAAGCATATTGAATTCATCCTGTATTCAGGCTTTGTCTTGAGGCAAAGCCTAATAGAGCACTTGTAAAGTCATGACATAGATAAACGTAAACAAATGCATATCTGAATCAAAATATTTACGATATTATCCATGAAATAGAATTGTTTATTGTCTAAAAATTTAGCTTACATAAGCCTGGAAAATTTTGTAATTTTTTTGTACATCAATATAGAGAAAGTCAGTATGGCGAGTGTCGCTGTAGGTTTTCTGGGAGAAATGACATTTTCACATGTTAATTTGTGTGTAATATATTGTATTTATGAATATTTATAATTCACTGACATTATGTAAATGAATATCTTTTTATAAATAATAATAAATTTAAAGAGAAAAAAATGTGAATAAATTATGAAATGAATATACAAAGGTACAATCTAGTGTGTTTCGGTACTTCAAGTGCTTGTAAAATCAGTTGGACTCGTAAAAACAGAATATATTATTATGTAAAAAATTCCTACAATGTGGTTATATTACTTGAATGATTTACTATGAAACCTATTGCTACTTACGATCCATCATAATTGAATGCAAAAGCATTCGATAACAGTATCGATTGGGAATCTTTGAAATACATTAATACTTTGCAGGATAAAGGCAAATAACTCAGACATTCAGAAAATGATTGGATTGGATTGAATTTCTTTCTTGTGATACGTATTAAGGGATAACCCACGAGACTTATTTCCAGCGGGGTCTTTCTGGCAGTGAATTGGACAGTACACCTGTAGACAATCCCCTAATTTTTCCGAAAAATGTACTGCGTTTTTTGAACAGGTTAAACGGGTTAAACGTCTAATCTTGAAAGACGACACTTTCGAAAGCATTTCGACCCTCCAACTTAAACACGAGGGGACCAGCGATGGGAATTGAACCGCAGACCGAGAGATCTCCACAGTTCAGCGGACACACAGTGGCTACAAGCAGTTTAGACAACTGCACTAGATGCTCTCTAAAATCGGGTTTCCATAGAATCACTGTACAGTCGCTACGCCGTTTTCACTGCAGTTCTTGCACTGCGTAGCTGTTCCCGTCGCAGTCAAGAACGCTCCCTTAAGCCTGGTTTCTATAGAATCGCTACACAGTCGCTACAGCATTTTCACTGCAATCCTTGAACTGCGTAGCTTGCACTGCGTAGCATTCCCCCGAAGGAGTCGGCAATAGTGTGTAACAATTTTTATGGAAACCAAGGTAAAAATAGGCATCCCTTTCCAAACAAAAAAAAAAAACATTGTATTTCAATATCTTGGCATGTTTAAAAGAATATTAATGAAAAAAATAAAATAAAAAGATTGCTGGATACCCTTGAACTTTTTAATATGTAGTCAATTTTAAAATGATATTTTGTGAATTAAAATTGATTTTTTTTAATCCATTTGTACATTAGATTATGTAATATATTTTTGATTTTTTTTTTCTTTTAGGCTGTCCATTTCGCCACACTGATGCTACCATCCTCAAGCAGCAGTTGTCCACCTACAATGTCCCTAAGGATGGTATTGATTCTGTAAGTTCTGGCAGCCAACAGAGGCCTAGATTTTAGGCGAGATTTTTTTAATACCTTGTTTAGCTTTAATAGCTTATTTTTGTAAAGATTGTCAGGCTAGGGCGGGAAAAAAAATAGAAAGAATTTTTTGTTTTTTTATTTAGCAAAATAGTTTTACCAAAAGCATCTAGGTGGAGGAAAAAATAAAAGTTAAATTTTATTGATGAATGTAAACAGTATATTAATGTGATTAATACTGTAAATGTTTTAAATTTATATAATTAAGGGACAAATAATATATATATCCTATTTTTGGAGATTTCAAGGGAGTGGAGAGCACAATAAAAATATTTTTTTCTTCCGAAATTTCCTTTTTCCCTGAAGGAAGGTGTACTAACTGGCCAAAAAAAATTTTTTTTTCTAAGTTTCAAAATCACAATTATTGGCAATCTGAGGGTTCGCTATTAACAAGGTATAAAAATCTTGCCTTAACCACTTGACCTAACATTGCCAGGCATTTAGGTACTGCAAGCAGTTATTAGCCAAGGGTCATAACATTGCCACAAAACCTAGTGTAGAAACTTAACCTAGTATTTCATCTAGATGTCATTTATTGATGTCAAATTATTTCATCCTCAGATCATGGGTTACATGAATGGTGGACATTGCCAGCTGGCTTGCTCGAGATACTTTGATATTACACATCAGGTTAGTGTCATCATTCCTGTTGTAGCTTGTCCCACTTGCAATTGTAGCGTGTTCCACTCGCAGATGGAAGACATACCTAAACAGGCTGTATATATGCAGAGGCCTTAAGCCTAATATTTCTTAAAATCTCAATATTTGGGGCCAGCATCTTTTGGACCATTAGCAAACCATTATGGCAATATTCTCAAGTTCAATTTCCAATCAATGTGGTATAGTTTATTGGCATTCCAACCAACATTATTTAACATCAACTATGTGTTGATTGTAGAATTCTTAATTTTAAAACGAAGTAACAAATAATACATACTGCTACATTTTTATACCATTTGTTACTTGGTTTTAAAATTAAGAATCCTACAATCGATACTTAATTTCAACCTAATGAAATTGTTCGAAGATCACCCATGTGCCTTACAGCAGAAACACTCAGAAGAAGCCATGCATCTTTTTATTACCGAATGGCACTGTCTGTTTACAATTTATACCCACTTTAGGTCATGTGACCAACCTACTGGGACAAAGGATAAATATCACATATATTAATATACTACATGAATTAATATAATACATTGAAGATAAATTGTTTAATATCGTTTTATTTTTCTTGTTGGTAGTTGCCAGAAGGAACTACATCTATACAACATCCAAATCACTACTTTGAAGAAAGTAGGAAAGTGTTGACTGGGGAGAGACCATCTAAAGAAGGTAGGAGAAACAGTTGAGCCAGATTTAACATAATATTACTACATGACAAATTCAAATCTGGATAATTAATTGATTCCAAGTAATAATTTCTCCAAAGAAACATCACATCAATAGGCTTTTGATTCCCCCCCTCCCCACTGGACACCATGAGATCAGTCTTACTTATATGTGAAGTCTCACCATCATATGAGACACATCATTTGTGAGATTGTATGGAGAAAATTACTAAAATAGGTCAAAAATCAAATTTCTCACCAAATTTTGATAATAATATTTTTGAATACTTTAATACTTTTTAAGTTTAATTTCTAACTATAAATGTGTTTTATGTGCCCTATTATTTGTACGGGTTTGTTTAACTTTTGAGGCTTAGTTTCTCATAAACTTCAAACGCTCGCATTTCTGGATCTACTTAACTTAGGAAAGCCATTCAAAGAGCAAATTAAGGCTTATAATGTGATTATCCAATTTTTCCTTTTGTTTCCTCAACCATAAGACAAGTTTTGTGCCTCCACAGTGAGGTAGTGACAGGTTTGGTATAATATATTGGATTAGGGTGAGGGGATTGGAAGGATAGCATAGAGTATTAACCACCTAACTCGCACTTCACTAAGCGGTATGGTAACTTAGGCTTTCTTGTTAACCTAAAGTTAGGTTTTTGTTTCCCAATAGCTTAAATAGTAAGACAACACTCCCCAACCTTAGTATTTTTTCTCATCTATGCCAGCCTGACAACAACAAATTATAAGTAGCTCAAAATTGATAACATCACATGTACAAAAAAAAAATAGTCATAAGCATAAGTGTGAACACAATGGGTTTATTGCGGTGTTAATCAAATTTTATTTTATTATTAATACAAATTATTACTTATTATTAAAAGTAATATTGAATGAAGCACTGTGAACTGGCATTGAAATATGTATATATTACTGTACAAGGCATTTTTGAATTGTGCATTTATATATTCTGTGTCACTGACAGACCAAAATTCAGCCTATAAAACTAGTGTTAAAATCTAAAAACACTCAAACATTTAGATTAAACATTTAATTGTTAAAAGGTTCAAACACATTATCAGATTTTAAAACAAAGATTGAAACAATTGTTTTACTTTGATAATTTCTAAATTGATAACCAGCTAATTTAAGAGTGTACGAACATTATTATTTATGCATTGGCATAGAAAATATTTCCACTGATTTTATCTGAGAGCTAGTTAGTAACATAATCATTATTAATAATAATATTAATAAATATAGTTATTAATAATAATTAATTTAAAAATTGATTTTTATTTTTTAGATTACCAGAGATTTTTTTGAAGTAATTAAAGATAAAATATGAACAGAAATATGCAACTGCAGTACATAAAAACTACCTTTACATTTACTTATATACCATACAGTAATTACAACTTTAAACAAAGACTGCAGTCTACCTTAGCCAACTGATTTTGCTCTAAAAATTTATAAATAACACAAATTTATGAAAATAAAATTCTCTTCTTAATAAAAATATCTCATCCAATATCCTCAATAATATAATAATATAACACATTTCGATAGTGTCTATTAAAGCAAAAAACATCTGGGCACCAGCCCTAGTCTAGTCTCTGAAATTTTGTATAAATTTTATTAATTTTTATCCTGTTGCTAATGTACATTGAGCCTGTGAACATGAGTAATGGTGCATACTAATATTGCAACTGTTTCAATTGGTGTAAAAGATTGCTGTAATCAGTTGCTATGGTAATTGAGCCCTTAAAATGTATAATGGTACTGAAAATCCAGTTGCTATAGCGATTATGCTTGTATGCATGGTGCCTTTATTTTTGATCTGATATGTTTGCAATGGTGATTGAGTCAAGGGTAGTGCCTGGATTTGCCAGATAGGGGTTTGATGTCCCCGACAATGTGGGCGTGGTCTGGCGTCCCTTTAAGTCTCGAAAAGTGGTACAACCCCAGAAAAATATGACAATTTAGGGGTTTCAAATGCTTATTTTATCAAATAAACTTCAAACACTGGCATTTCTGGATCTACTTAACTTAGGAAAGCCATTCAAAGACCAAATTAATGCTTATAATGTGATTACCCAATTTTTCCTTTTGTTTCCTCAACCATAAGACTAGTTTTGTGCCTCCACAGTAAGGTAGTGACAGGTTTGGTATAATTTATTGGATTAGGGTGAGGGGATTGGAAGGATAGCATAGAGTATTAACCACCTATCTCGCACTTCACTAAGCGGTATGGTAACTAAGGCTTTCTTGTTAACCTAAAGTTAGGTTTTTGTTTCCCCATAGCTTAAATAGTAAGACAACACTCCCCAACCTTAGTATTTTTTCTCATCTATGCCAGCCTGACAACAACAAATTAAAAGTAGCTCAAAATTGATAACATCACATGTACAAAAAAAAATTAGTCATAAATATAAGTGTGAGCACATTGGGTTTATTGCGATGTTAATCAAATTTTATTTTATTATTAATACAAATTATTACTTATTATTATTAAAAGTAATATTGAATGAAGCACTGTGAACCTGCATTGAAATATGTATATATTACTGTACAAGGCAATTTTTGAATTGTGCACTTATATATTCTGTGTCACTGACAGACCAAAATTCAGCCTATAAAACTAGTGTTAAAATCTAAAAACACTCAAACATTTAGATTAAACATAAATTAATTGTTACTGTACAAGGAAATTTTTGAATTGTGCATTTCTATATTCTGTGTCACTGACAGACCAAAATTCAGCCTATAAAGCTAGTGTTAAAATCTAAAAACACTCAAACACTTAGATTAAACATTTAATTGTTAAAAGGTTCAAACACATTATCAGATTTTAAAACAAAGATTGAAACAATTGTTTTACTTTGATAATTTCTAAATTGATAACCAGCTAATTTAAGAGTGTACGAACATTATTATTTATGCATTGGCATAGAAAATATTTCCACTGATTTTATCTGAGAGCTAGTTAGTAACATAATCATTATTAATAATAATATTAATAAATATAGTTATTAATAATAATTAATTTAAAAATTGATTTTTATTTTGTAGATTACCAGAGATTTTTTTGAAGTAATTAAAGATAAAATATGAACAGAAATATGCAACTGCAGTACATAAAAACTACCTTTACATTTACTTATATACCATACAGTAATTACAACTTTAAACAAAGACTGCAGTCTACCTTAGCCGACTGGTTTTGCTCTAAAAATTTATAAACAACACAAATTCATGAAAATAAAATTCTCTTCTTAATAAAAATATCTCATCCAATATCTTCCTGTATAATACAGGTAATATAACACATTTCTATAGTGCCTATGAAAGCAAAATAACGTCTTGGCACCAGCACTAGTCTAGTCTCTGAACTTTTGTATAAATTTTATTAATTTTTATCCTGTTGCTGATGTACATTGAGCCTGTGAACATGAGTAATGGTGCATGCTACTATTGGTGAAAAAAGATTGCTGTAATCAGTTGCTATGGTAATTGAGCCCTTAAAATGTATAATGGTACTGAAAATCCAGTTGCTATAGCGATTATGCTTGTATGCATGGTGCCTTTATCTTTGATCTGATATGTTTGCAATGGTGATTGAGCCAAGGGTGATTTGCCCAAAAGGGGTCGATGTCCCCGACAATGTGGGCGTGGTCTGGCGTCCCTCAAAGTCTCGAAAAGTGGTACAACCCCAGAAAAATATGACAATTTAGGGGTTTCAAATGCTTATTTTATCAACTTTACAGGGTCTACTAATAAGTACAAAATAAACTTTAAAAAAAAACTTTTAAAATAAATTCATTTTACTGTGTAACATTTATACTCTCTCAAAAAAATTCCAAATTTGTGACCTTTTTTTTTGCATTATTAATTAGAATTAATATGTCATTCTTGTAACATATTGAAAATTTCATTTTCATTCTCATATAATTTGGATAGCTGCATTTAATTATTGCATTGTCATAAACAAAATTGACATTCAACAAATTAGCATTTTGCAATTAAACGACTTGGCAGTGCTTTGAAATGATAGCAAGCAATTTCTAAGCAACGCAAACATGTAAAAATGATACATTTCCACAGTGTAATGCTAACATCGGTATAAATTTCAGATCATCATCATCAACAAACCTCTTTGAGCACCAACTTGTATAATATACCCTGTAGCATAGGCGGATTCAAGTGGGGCCTTGAATCCAAAATATTTGACAAAATGGACAAAAATTAAAGTTATATTCAAATTTAAGTCTGGGAGTGCTATTTTTTGGCCAATTATCCAACCAACCTATGTCAGGCTATTCACAATTATTAGATCAATTACAAACACATTCTCACACAAGTACTCAAGGATCTTTTGATCAGTATTAGTGGGAGGGGGTATGTCGGGTGTATGGAAGGGAAAGGAAGTACAATATATATGAAATGGATGGTGGTAGAAAAAGGAGGATGTACGAGAGTGTAAGATAGACATGATAGGAAATGGTTGTAGAAGACGTACTGTACATACAGAAAACAAATATATGTTGGTTGGGTAGGAAAAATTATAGAGTACAGTGTATATAGGGAAAGAGAAGCGTGGGTTGTAGAGGAAATGATTTGTCATACTGTAACTAAGAACAACCTGTATAACACTTCTGGTAAGTGTTTGAAATGCCTCTAATAATGTGTTAAAGGTAAGTGTTTGTGGCATGTCCAGCCCAACACAACAACTACATAAAGTATCACCAAAAATGTCTGTGCCTCAAAAGATAAAAAATAAAATAATCATATTCAGATAATACAACTCCATATTTACATTTTTACATTTTTTCAAACAGAATCTTGAATCCACAACTTTACAGGTTCGCTTCAAAGTCTTGCAAGAAATCTGAGTTACGTGTTCCTAAATAACTTGGATCCGTTTATTTCCTGTATCGCACACTGCAAACCTTCCATTCCGCACGAAACCGATACCTGTTGGTTCATCAAATTGGCCCTCTTCGCTACCATGTATACCGAAACAAGTCTCCATAGTACCTGAGGCGTAGAAAATTTGTATACGATGATTTCCGGTATCGGCAACTATCACGTAGCCTTGAGGATCAACAGCGATTCCTGTTGGACTGTTGAGCTTTCCTGGTTCGGAACCCCAACCGCCGAATTTGTACAGAAATTTACCATCCGGTGTAAAAACCTGAACTACATGCTTGATTGAATCGGTTACCATCAGCTGGTTGCCTGGTGTAAAAGCTATGTGGGATGGTTTTTGAAATTTACCGTCCTCATCTCCAGCTTGTCCAATCTGTCTTAAGAACGTTCCATCCGCTTTAAAAACTTTAACGCATCTGTTATTAGAATCGCAGACGTAGATATTTTCGAGGCGATCGCTGACAACCCCAATAGGTCCATTGAGCTGTTGCGAGGCATTACCAGCAACGCCAAGTTGGTGGATAAAATCGCGTCCTGTATCCCATATCTGCACCCGATTGTTACCCCAATCCGAAACTACAAAATGGTTCCATTTATTCAAGAAAAATGACTTTGGTGATAAAAACTGGCCAACATTTTGCCCTTTTGTGCCATAAGACTTCAAAATTTGGCCCTCTACAGTCAAAATTGCAATAGAATTATAGTTTTCATCAAGAACAGCTAGGTTTGTGTTTGGAAGGGAAAGTAATGCAACAGGTTTGGAAAATTTGATGCCCCTAGAGGGACCCTCACCTAATATCTTGCAAGGGTTCCCTCGCAGTTTGTAATTGAAAGCTGCTGGAGAAGTTGCACTTGCTGGAAAAGCACTAGCATCTGCACTCAATGTTGGGCTGTTGGTTCGTGAAATGTGTACGCTGTGGACATCATTCCTGGCTGAAACTGACTGAGCTGGCAAGCTTTGTGCTAGTATACCCACTGCCCCAGCTGACTGCTGTCGCAATAATGGACTGGCACTTCTATTAAGAATTTGAGGTGGTGTTGCAGACCCTCTAACAGGATTCAAAGCTGGCCCAGCCGATGTACGCCTTGAAAATGGATTAGAAGAGTTAGGCAATGTTTGTGTCTGAAGGCTAGGTTTCAGCTGTGGTATATGCATGGAGCCCTGTGAACTTGGATTTGGTTGGTTGAAAGATGGCAGACTTTGTACACTGGATAAACTTGAAATGGAATCAGCCCTCCTTCTTATATCGATCCCTGAGTCAAAGGATTGTGTAACACCAATACTACCTATAGAATTGGGAGAGTTGCTAAATGGATTTCCAACAGAGAGTGGTGATATTGATTGGTCAGTGCTTAAACTGGACTGTAATCGATTGGCCAACTGCTCTGTTGACCTCTGAGAACTTATGGTATGCCTTGACTGACCAGACAATATATTGGCATCTGTTTCATTCATAAATTCATTCTGTGGTCTTGGGGGCTGGTTTGTTGTCAAAGAGGTTATAGTGTTCCCAGCAACCATTGAACTCCTGTTACTGAAAATTTGTCCAAATTTTGATATCTCTTGAATCAGGAGTTCCTTTGACTCAGAATCTTCTGAGTATCTCCATGCCCATGACCCCTGTCCCCTCATCTCCAGATTATGCAAATGCTGAAGATAATTCTTGCATTTCTCCACAATACCTTCTAAGTCCTCTTTCGTAGGCTGCTGACTGGCTGACATGAGAACTTGGACCTCATTCTGGAAACTACGCAGAAGTTCCTGTGCCTGTTTACTTTGCATCAGGAGGTGGTGTTTACCCTCTTTCCTCTCCGCTTCCACCTGAGACATCAGGATGTTCTTACGGGCTCGTATTTCACTCACCATCTTTTCGAGAGATGAATCAATTTGCCCTTTAGCATGCTGGTAACTATGCTCTAATTTTTGTTCTTCAACGTTTGTTTGACTAAGCGTGTGCACTTTCCCTTTTAACTGACTAATCAACGCTGAGATCGTCTGCCTGATCTGCAGATTCTCTGTCTGTTGCGCTGCTACCGGTGAATCAAATGTTTGTGCGATGTTAGGCTGCTCATTTGTTTTTCCTTGCAAGTCGATAAGTGCAAACATTGTCAAGTTATTTGGTAAGCCCTCGATTCCTTTACTGGGCACAGGGAGCTGAAATCGGCACTGCGGGCATTCAATAGTATTGTTTTTAATAACCATATCCAAACATGGCGCGCAGAGAGTGTGTTGACATGGGAGGAGTTTCGGTCGATGCCGCTTAGAGTCGTATATTTCCAAACACATCGGGCACTCAAGTATATGCAGAATGTCTTCAGCCATCTTGAAAAAATTCTGTAAATAAAAAGAATCGAAAGGGTTCAATTCAATGAAAGCATATATATATACTGTATGATAGTGGGTAGTGCCTGTTGTTTCAGATCATCATCAATCAAATTCAATGTCACCATCACAACCAATACTAAAAAATCTACAAAAAATATACTATAAAAGTTACTACTATCTAAACTACAATAACTAAAGTATACTCTACTACTACATATGTGGCAAAGACAAGCCAAACTAGTCACTCATCGCAAATTGTGTTTTAGAGATAAAGGCCAAAACATGCTTGATAGTCAAAATTGTTGAAATCTATTTTATTGCACTAAACTAACCTATATATTTATACATCATGCTATGCTGTTATTTTCCCCATTTTCTGATATAAATAACTATTTTTTAACAATTTGGTGATGGTCTCTGCCTGAAAAATGCCTGAAATCATAAACTTTGAAGGCTGATTTCTCAAATTTTTTTTCTTTAAACAGCTCATGTTTACATGCCTCCAACTTATAAGAAAATGTTGGATTTAATGATTCTTTTACCATTTTATAGCTCTCATTTTACTGTTTAGTAATAACTTAAATTTGACTTGCGACCATGTAACTGGTTTGGCTTGTCTTTACCACATATGGAACTACTGTAGAACTATGACAGTTAACTTGAAACAATTTTAAGAGCGCAATTTGGCCTTGTTGTGACAGACTGATTTTGAAAATACATTTCTTTAATTTCCTCATCTTTAACAATAATAGTACCATATACTCTCATGTATAGGACTACCCTCGTATAAGACAATCCCCCCTAATTTGAGAAGATTTTGTACGATTGTTGTACGTTGGGCATATAAGATGTCCCCCCTGTTTGACCGTCAAAATTCCTACTTTTTTTAAACATTTTTTTATGGTCTTGATGCTGCATCCAGCTAGCGAAAAAAGCGAATGCAAATGTAGGGCTATTCTTCCAAATAACACCATCTAATGGCCCTTAAAATTTTCATGAAAATCACATTTCCCCGCATTTAAAATTGCGTTCATTATGAATACTAACAGTGTTGCGCATTTTAAGACTACCTGTACACCCTGTTTTTCGATCGTAATTTGCTATTTGAAGCCTCGTCTTACACATACGAGAATTACAGTATATACCAGTACTTTAAATTGTCATTATTGCATGGACTGCCTTTAAGCACTTTTACATTAACTGAAGAGGATTTAAAACAAAAGTTAAAAAATAAAGATAGAAATATGTCCTTCCAACTGGACGCTGTTGGTCCTGTGTGCATAATTAATAGTACATGAAAAAAGAACTTGGTAGACTTTTTCAAAACAGAGTCTAACTGACAATGATAGCTGCTGCACAGTGGCCACAAACACTATATCCCCAGGGGCCCCAGCCATCCCATGGCAAGACAACTGCTATTTTTGTTATTAAAGTTACATTGTTTAGCCAAGGCAATTCAACAGAAGGACGCACATCTCGGGACATCAAAGTTTATAACTCTGGCATCGACATTCTAGGCACACGTGTGTCCCTACACGCTGAACGTCACAAAAACCATAGCAACCAGACCATAAACCGTCAGCGTCAGGCCTAATGATATTTTGCACTAACATTAGACTGAAATTATATTCTTCATTTCAGCATTAATTTTACCGATATTGTGCTGTATTGTCGTTCATGAAATTCACTTCGCAGAAAAAAATTAATAAATGTTCTGTATCTACTCAAATGTTCGTTTTGTGCACTTTAGTCCAACATTGTCAAAATGACAGTTTAATGTTATATAAGAACATTAAATTTTATAAAATTAGTAAATTTTCTATTGCTATAACTTTTCATTTTCTTGGTCAATTTTCACAAATCAAATTGCAGTTTATAGAAGCATTTAACAAGCTCGTGGTCAAAAGAAATCAGATAACAGACATTGCGAAGTACCCAAAATTAATAAAATAGTAAGCAACACCATAAAACGTATGGCACGCATACAGTAGATTAATAATTGACGGCTGTACTCGCAACTAGTATCGGATTGTCGATGCCACAGTAAAGATCAAAGGACTGTACGCACGCACTATGTTCGAGAGCGGAGATGTGCGTCCTTCTGTTGAACTACTTTAGTTTAGCCTTGGAACGGCCACGTCTACAAGTGACATTGATTTTCATCAGAAAGCATAAGTGTTTACATTATGATAATATACTATCATGCTTTACATCCACATACATTAGCTAACAGTACTACAATAGGCCTATATAGCTACAATAGGCCTATACTACTATGTGGATGACATTGTAGGCCTATTGTAGCTACAACACTATAATAGGCCTATACTGTACAGAATGTCATCACATAAATACTGTAATACTTTAGCAACATGAAACCTCAAGTAGATAGTTGGAATATCAGTTACTACAGTAAGTTACAGTATTCATTTTAATACAGGAAGATACTTTAATTCCCCGGCTCTACTGTGACAAAATCTTATCTATTTGTTTTGTTTCATGTGATTTCTTATATGTGTTTATATTTCGTAAATATTCAAATAATTGCATCTGGTTTGCTAATTATTCTTGTAGAACTGTTTTAGTTGTTACCAGACCCAACACAATGGATGTTAACCTACTGCGAGCTTTCGTCACTCTCAGTAAGATACCATCCATTGTGTTTGGTTTATTAATGATTAAAACAGTTCTAAAACAAATTATTAGTAATCAGCTATTCATTCTGCAAGTAGTGCAGCGGTGCCAATATGATGATTTCAAATAAAATATAAATTTTGGCCAATTATTAGCACATCTGCCGCCACAGAAAAATGGAAATTTAAAAAAAAAAAAAAGGTTTTTCTTTATTTTTTTTACGCCTGCTGCTGCCTTGAAATCTTAAAAAAATTAGATATACATATTTTTTCCTAATTATATAAATTTAAACATATAACCATCCCATTACTACATTTTTGTTTTCTCCTCCATCTGGATGCATTTTGGCAAAAATATTTGCTAATAAGAAACAATATATTTGTTTCAATATTTTTCCGCCCTCCTCTGACGATCTTTAAAAAAATAAAGTTTGCGAAACAAGGTATGAAAGTCTCGCCTAAATAGGTGAATTCATAAAACATAAAGAATATGTTTTTATAGTGTAAAGTATAAATGGCGATATCTCTAATGAGAAACATGCTGTGTTGATATAAATTAATATGGTGTGGTGAATTGGCACAGACCAGCTGACTTTACAGCGACCTCTCCCCTCGCCTTGCCCCTTTCCAGGAAGTAGGAAACGCAATACTTCCCATGAGTATCGTGGTCATTAGTACATGCTACCTGTAGCCTCCTCTTCTAGCCATGATTTGTAACTTACTACAGTATAGTATGCCAATAGTATAGGTATGCTAAACATACATTCAGTATTGCCCTGTAATTTATGTTCCTGTGCCCTCATTCATGTACGTGATATAAATATATTTATAAACATAATCATACAGTATCTCATACTGTAGGTGGCCCATAGAATATCTGTTTATCCCAGGCAGGTTTATTTTAATGACAGGTCTTTTATATTTTTATATATTTTTATAAATATTAAAATCCTTTTTCATGTAAATAAATATCAAATTGTTAATTGATCCTGTAAGTTTTCTTTAAATATGTATTTTAAATTTATGACTTTTTATTGTATAATTCAATCATTGTATACTGTGATTGCCAATAAAGATATTTTTGAATTGAATTGAATTGAATTGGTCTTGATCCTTAGGGTTGGGGGAGGATTGTAAGTCAAGGTATCTCAATTAAATGCTTCAGTATTTAAAACCAAAATTAAGGAGAAAAATTCAATCAAAATAAGTGAATAACTCATTTAAGATATATATAATATCTTGTTCAATGATACATAGATAAATTTAGTAATGGTCAAAAATCTCTAAAACTATTTATCAGCCACTTTAATGGTCTGTAAAAGAAATAGTACAGGTACTTTTACAGGTATAGGCTATAATTATAATAATGATGATAATAATAATAATAATAATAATAATAATAATAATAATAATAATAATATACAGTATGTTCGAATGTGCATTACAAAAAAAAGACAAGAATACAAATTTTCAAAAGAGAAAGTTAAAATTCTAGTTTATTTTCAGATGGGGAAGTACCTTTTGTTACCCATGGATCCACCACTGACAGGGTAGATGGATAAATGAGTGAAGGGTGAAGGAGGCAGTATATGACCTGGGACAGGATGTAGGGTGGATGAATTATGATAGGGTGGATATAGCAATGTCACAGTATTGTGTCAGTGGGCATAATATTTTTTATTTACTTATTTTTTTTTTATTTGAACCATATTATAGTGGGTTACTCATTACAGCTACAGTGTAGGTTGATATACAGAGGCCCACTTAATATTGAACTCAAAATACAGACATCAATAATCAAAAAGTACTATAATAGTGAAGGACTATTGACTTGAAATAACCCACTGTAAACATACAAATGTGTCATCTCTGTTGTTAATTTATTGATTGGTTAGAACATTTATAGTACCATACAGGGTTACGTACCATCTCTTCAATACAATTCAATTCAATTAAACTTTATTGTCCATTGTAATATGAAATTCATCTTCATGATTGATAACAAGCATTGCATGTGTGAACAATAAAAAATACCAACAAATTGTGGATACTCAATAATATATAATACAGTAGGCCAATACAATTGTATATTTAAATATAAAAATGAAACGGATATATTAATCGAGACACCAAAGGGACTAGCCATAAATGTAGGCAACATGAAAACTAACTATACAGCAGGGATCCCTACCTGCTGTACTTTCCATCCCTATCTTTTGTCAGAATGTATCATACAGGTTCTCTTGTCTAAAGTATTGCAGCAATCCTGTCACTCAATTACTGTTAAATGCCAACTGTCCTGTACACCATAAATTATTTGAAAGAAAACAGAGCAGTGATGTACAGTAAAACGTCCATTTTACGAACATCGATTTTACGAATGGTCTTTGCCCCTGATGGCGTTATCATCAACCAATTATTACTATAAAAAAAGTCTTATTGCACACGTTTTACAAAGTGATAATGTATATTTTTCTTAATAAAATCAAATTTGTTGTATTTATTTATTAAGTTCAATCATTTCTTCCATTTCTCCAAGTGTTGTCAGATTGAGCGCACATTTTTACGATTGATGAATGAGAGTGTTAGGGTCAGCAACTTATTGACATCATGAATGCAAGATACTGTATGATCGCGAAATGTATGTAAACAACGCAATTCGGTGATCTAACAACCCAAAAGAACAAAATAGAAAGGTCCACAAAATATACACAGATGTTTGAATAAGAGATAAAATGATATTTTGTTAAGAGGAAGAATGCCAGTGAAGGTAAATTCAGATGGAACTAGTGCGGTAGACTACGCTTCTGCACTGTCGGTTCGTGCTAGGCCTGGACGCCATCAGCCTATCGGCGCTCAATGGCAGGGGATAAGTAGGCCTAGGTATTAGAAACTGACACCCGATCTACAGTAGTTTACAAATTTTGCAATTTATGAACACCCCTTGGTACCAAGGGGTACGCAAAATGGATGTCTTACTGTTGTACTTTCCTTGTCGAAACTACAGTACCAGTTTAAGTTCACAGTTTACAGGACTCCCTCCAATTAAAGACCACTTTTGGGACCTTGGTTTCCATGGTCTTTAGCAGGTTTGGTCCCTAATTAGAATAATAAAGGTAAAAGTCATTTGTTAATTTGGTACCATAGAAATGTGGTCTTTGATTAGAGGTGTTCTTTAACTGGAGGGGTCTTTAATTAGATGAAGGTCTGTATTTCCTTTATTTCTTTGTTTAGTGCCCCAAAGTAATAAATTTCAACATAAAATGCATATCAAGAATTGTGTAAAATACAAATTCAATGTTTTGCCGTGTGTATTAACTGTACATACAGTACAATGATAGCCACTTTAATAAGTATTGTGAATTTGGGTTTATAAGTTATACTGTAGAATGCTGTAAGATAGAATTGCCAATGTTTTTCTCTTGTGGGAAATGACTATTTTCCTTAGTGAAAACAAGTCCTTGGTTTACTATTAATGGAAGCCTAAAATCATGTTGGAGAGAATAACTTATTATCAGAAAGATATATCTCATTTAATCATTAGGGATACAATTTGTCTATTACAAAACTGAAAAAAAAATACACAATTATTTTGTAGAGGTATATCGTATAAGGTACAGTACCAACCTCCATCCAATGATATAACAGATCAGAAAAAATAATTTGTTGATTTACCCAAAGTTTACTATAACAATGAATATAGGAATAGTATACTAACACTATGTCTGCTTGGCAAAGATTTTATTACTAAATTTTAATGAATTGAAAGATTACTTTGATAGTCAAAATATTGTTTTTACCTCAAACACAGACATGCCTATAGCGAGATGAACGGTTCAATACTTGTGATGACTGATCTAAGATATTCTTATCATATTCCTAATCTTTATTCTATTCATTATTATGGTAGTAATATTTAATAGATAGAGTTATTTCACACCTTGGTAGACATAGGCCTGTAATAGCTTTTCTTCCAGGCGTAGTCATAATATACTGTATTACACTTATGGCATGGACTGTGAGGCACTCAGCTACTGTTTTTACATGAATTAACATCCGTATGCAAATCTCCTTCACTCTTCTCCATGAGCCAAGCCACTTTCTAACGTCCCACAATTTACGTCAATATAATATTCTAGGCCTAGAAAGAAAATTCATCATAAGAAAACAAGTCCTCTGCAATATTTCTTAACTTATGATTGACCAGAACTTACCACAGATAGTCAGAAAGTATTATTATATTTCCAGAGATTTTGTTAAAATCCTGAGTTTGGTAGGACCATGTTTCATAACCGGTATTCAAATATCTTGGTACTTTTGTGTAGGCAGCCAGTACTACATGGTTGTGTCGACGGTTGGTGGTGATTCATGCATAGTGCACTGTAGCCTGTGAACTATAGCCTAATACTAATCTGTAGCCTTTCAACATTCCACGCTTCATCGATTTCGAATAGGTTTAAACTCATGGGGTTTTCTTGGCCACCTACACTCATTATTACGTTTCTCTTTTTGTATTGTTTTTTTTTTTCTTTTATTGGATTATTGATGTGTGATTCATAAGAATGTTTAAATTTTAATTTAGATAATAGTTCAATATTGTAATTATTTTTTCTAATATGTTTATTCATCATATTTAATACTTGTGTGAATCATATTACATAATGAAGGAATTAACATTTTTGGTTGTTCCATTCTGCTTAAAAAGTCACATTGTGTATAAAAACTGGAAAATAATACCAGAAATTTTGTTTTTAATGGCTATGGTAGCTACAAATGTGTCTTTCATATGGTATTTGTTACTAAATGGCCAGAAACATTTTACAGATGGGTGTGGTCCTATAATAGGTGTGGGGTGGGGTGGGTAATGGTACTTTATAAATCTGTGGCCCTTTTTTATCTTTCCTTATGTGTAAGCTAGCATAAAATGTTTATAATGGCCGGGATTAGATTTATATTTTTGTTATATTGTCCTTGACGAAATTCTATACTCAGTGAACAAAACAATTTAAACATATGACAAATATTTAAAGCTTTGATTTCCGAATGCCCTTTCAAGCAATCTGTTTGATTTCCAAAATGATTTGGAGAATACAATACATATATTCCTGTAAAGAAAATTATATATCATCCCCAATGATAAATGTGAGGCCTCACCACAAAATGAGTCTCATGGTTAGAAATTCAAAAATTGAGTTTATATTATATTTGGGTAGATCACATTATAACCTTTCATGTGGTCTTTGAATGGCTTCCCTACTATAAGTAAATCCAAAGATGTGAGCATTTAAAGTAGGTGTATACGAACAACGTTTTGAGAAAATCAGCCTCAAAGATAAACTAACCTGTACAAATAATATGACTAGAATTACAGAATATGTGCAGAGAACACTGTTTTGGCAAGAAAAATCACTTACAAAGTATACAGTCATAAAATATAAGTATCAAGTTATTCAAAAACATTAAATTCAAAATTTTGTAAAAATGTTGACTTTGGCCTGTTTTGGTGAATATCTCAATATGGTTTCACCAACGATGCGTCTCATTTCGTGGTGAGACCTCACAAATATAATTCAAATGGATTGTATTTACACATAGGTTCATTCATTCATTCAAGTAAACATTTATTCTTTCCAAAAATGAACAATACAATATAAACAATTCAATGATTTTTTAGGATAACAGCCAAAAAAAGCAATGTGCGGCAAAGCCCAAATAATAATAATAATAATAATAATAATAATAATAATAATAATAATAATAATAACATTAATAATAATTAGAGTAATAATCATAAACAAGTACACAAGAGACAGTGGTAGAGTATACAAAGACAAGTGACAGAAAACAAAAACGGGTACAAAAAACACAAGGACAAACAAGACAAACTGATCGTCTACAGTATATGATTGGGAAGTAGGATTTAATAATATATTATAATTTATTAAATAGTTGTCAAAACCATCATGTAAGAATAAATAAGTTATACTTACTGTTGGCTCATTGAGGTCAGGATAATAGATTTTGTTGTTCAGTGAAAAGAAATTTATCAGATAAGAAACCTAACCTTGTAATAAGTGTTGTACAGAACACAACCATTGATTTGGTTTTGGTGACCCTTAAGGCCAACTCAGACAGCGTCGGCCGACGCAGCCCGACGCGATTTGTTTTCGCGTCGGGTCTGTGTGAGTTGAATGCAGACGTGATGGTGTGCGTCGGGGGCAGTCGCGTAGTAGAATATTAAACGTGTTTAATATTTCTCACGACGGCTTAAGACTGTCCCCGACGATAAATCGGGTCGGGCTGCGTCGGCCGACGCTGTCTGAGTTGGCCTTTATCCTGTATGTATCCCTTGGCCCCTGTAGTCATAATTTCTCAAAATGTCTGCAAGTCCCAACTTAAAACCATCAATTACATCTTCCAAAACATGAACTGTCAAATTGATTAATTCCCATGATTCCTATCAGTTATTATAGTAATCTTAAAAAATATAAAGTCACTTTATATAATGTTTACAGTATCATATGCTTTTAGCGCATATTGGCCCACGATTACTTTAGTGGTAATAAAAGGATTGAGTAGAAGTGTACAGGGATTTTTTTTTCTTCAAAACAACTTGACTCATCAACGATATAGGACATAATCTTATGTACCATGAGTAGGCTGGTTTTAAGTGGATATTGAGTAGCAATCTTTAATTATGTAATATATATTCATTGTTTGTCTTGTCTGCTTCAGATATCATTGATTTTGATCTGTCTGCCGCATACCCGGATATAATTAATAGAGTTTGCTCTAATTACCCAAATTTTCATGGCTCGCTTTCCTGTATTAAATGAATACGTTATTTGTACTCCCTACAGCGTTTGCCTCGCAGTCGTCACAGATGAGCAGTGCTACTCGTGGGTCACAAGACAGTCAACCTTCTGCGGTCGGTGATGACTTCGGTGACGAGACCGGTTTTTCATTGGACGACCTGGACAAGATGGAGGCGGAATTAGTGTGACATGCCCTGAGGAGTCAGCATTAATGAAACAATTGATTATGCTGTGCAAGTTGTATTCTACTAAGTCTCATGTTACAAATAATGGTAGTGTATTTTAAGGACTCGCAGTATATTAATCTATAGAAGTGTCATTTTGGGATTCAAATGTAAAGTTAAACTTACGACTGGTAATATTTTGTTATTTCGTTTAACCTCGACAGTGTTTTAACACCGTTTTTATTTAATTATAATATAAATTTTTTATAGAATCTAAATTAATCAAATTAGTCTGCCAGAATATACTGTATATATATCAAAAGCCCGAAATAAAAGTGCTCCTTATCCTTCGTAAATTACCGAACATTGCTTCCGATAAGCTGAACGCCAACATCCCTATATTCTTTACATACTGATTTGATTTTCCAGTCGGTTTGGTAGGCCTTCTGAGCCGTATATTTGGATTAGGTGTGAATCAGATATATAAAATATCTTACTAAATCATCCTTCAGTAGGATAGTATTTTTGGATTAAAGAAGGAAGTTCTTCATCTCAGAGCCTTGGGATGAACAGTGACTGAGAAATTATGTTTCCTTTGGCCTTCCAGTGAAAGAGTCTCTAATGAACAAACAGAAAATTAAGGCTGCTATGCAGTTTTACCTTATGAGACTTGTCATCCCAAAACCAGCGTGCTGTTTGCTAAATGTTAACTGATTAATTTGCACAAGAATGTATTGTACCAGTTTTGTATACAGTACTTTAGTATGAGAAGCCGTAATACTTTTACTCATAACCTTGGCAAAAGTCAACTCCCATCATTTTAAAGCTTATACAGAAATGTGCAAAATAAGAATATATTAAAGGTAAATTTTCATTTTTTGATGCTTGTTTTGGGATGGCAATCCTCACATATATATTATATAAATATCCAAGTATTTTAAATATTTTATGCATTATTCATTCACTACCGTATTTTGTTTAAAAATGAATCCCTATGTAGAATTCTTCCTTCTGTAATCAGATGCATTTATTTAGGGTGGAGAGGTGTGGGTATGGGTTTACCAGTTGCCTTAGATCTATGTACCATATAAAGAAAGTAAAGGTAGGAGAATAAGCCATAACTTGCAGCGTCGTCGTGCTGAATTGCGTATGGGTGTGGTCTGTGACTACCTAGGCGCCATAAAGAGGTCGCTTATAGTAGCTACATATTCACATCATTCCACAACGACGAGCTGAATTCATATAAATGAATGTCTATCTATTGCGAAGCTGACCAACCAATCATTACAATGCTTGTAAAGCCTTTTGTAAGTGATACTTACAATCAGACAGTTGTTTTTGTTAAACAAAAACTATGAGAGAATAAAACATATATCACATTATAGTACAGTGTTTGTGTTTCATTGTCTTATCTGCAGTTACAATAGACTTGCTGTACATTTCTATAAATAAACTACGATATATGTGGCAAAGACAAGCCAAGTCCTTGCAAAAAAATTTATTTTTAGGTATAACAGGGTTCAACAGTAAAATGAGAGCTATAAAATAGTAAAGGAATCATTTAAATCTGACATTTCATTATGAAGCTGTTTATTAAAGAACAATATTCGAGAAATCAACCTTCAAATTTTACGATTTTTGGCATTTCTCAGGCAGAAACTATCACCAAATCGTTAAAAATTGTTGTTTTACATTGCAAATTGTTGTTTTACATTGCAAATGGGGAAAATAATTACATAGCATGATGAATGATTATAAAGTTTAATTTAATGCAATAAAAAAAAAATGAATGTTGACATTCCAGCATGTTTTGGCTATTATCTCTGAAACACGACTTGCGGTGATTGACTGGTTTGGCTTGTCTTTGCCACATATATAATATATTATTGTATTGATTTATCCTGTCTCTCAGACAGAAAAGGCTGATAAATTGAGAGTGTGATGCTGTTTAATAATGGTACTGATGAGGGTGGTGTATAGTGCTCATATAAGTAATACTAGATATGCTGTCTTTAAATGACTGTCATATATACGAAATAATACGCTTGATTAGCAGACTGGTCATTCAAAATAAACCCAGAGGAGTGGTGTTGGTGCTATTTCCAAAATGCTGGATTTCAGCATACTGATTCCATGCTCAACGATAGCCCAGCTAGTAATGTGATTACTAACGGCTATATAACTAGGTAAGAGGAGCATTTATGTATGTTCGCTTCCAGAATGGGTGTACACCTGTGCCAACACGCCTAGCTTCACTAGTGTGACAGCAGTATTGTGCATATTTTTAACCTACTGTGTGACTTTTTTTTTACGAAAAGCCAAAAATATCTTGTGCATTCATAATATAAAATGTTACAGTAAAATTTATCTAAATTTGAAGATCAAATCCATTGGAGTTAGCACTTTTGTATTCATTTAACTGATTATAATAACTGTACTTCACAGAATGGTATCTTTTTATTATAAACAAAATATAACTCAACAGAATCTCTTGTATTGGATAAACAAAATCAAGTACTTCTACAAATAATATACTGTACTGGTATCTTTCAGTATCTTGTTTAATTTATTTTTTGACAGTATTCACAACTTTCAAAATTTTTCCAATATATTTAAGAAAAAATAACAAATGTGTACAGACGCACAAGGAAGAACATTTTAAGAAACTTGTTAAAACAAATTGTTGATAATTTCAGTCACAGGAATACTTGCCATGCAACAATTAAAAAAAACAAAAAACTATTAAAATGTTGATGCAATCTGAATTAAGGCAAGTGTTAGTTTGGTAATATCCCAAGGTGCTTAGTTCGAAGCCTAACAAGTGCAAGTTTAAATAGAACATCGCAATATTCTTTGTGTTGTACTCAAAACATGTGTGCAAAGACATCATTGGCCATGAATTCATCTGGGGTCTATGGGCGCTTGACGACGTGTTGCCGTCTGCTAATTATCGGTGCCAGTCCGAGCTGATCTTCATTAAGAAGATCCGTTTCACGCGCCTTGTTGCGTTGCGCTTTCTACGGGATCGTGTCGGCCAATGATCATTGGTGCAGTTTGTGTTCACCTCTAGTCACTGTGAGACATAAAATTCACTTGTTTTCAAGAAAAAGTTCTTATTTAAATTTTAAAAATTGAAAACAATTCAACCAATACTTAAAGAAATTTATTTTAGTTAATGATACTGTCTGCATCAAGCCAAAGAAAAAAACTTGGAATCAAAACTTTTAGTGTTTATTTGTACATTTATGGAAATTATAGTCTTTCAAATTTAAAATTAGAATAAGAAAATAATTTTCTTGCCACTTACTAAAATGCAAATGATACTGTTTCTGTAGAAAAAGGATTTTTGTAGTAAAAAGTCTTGTTAAATTGATCCCTTTAAATGAGCCAAGATGATTGAATTAAATTTTTCAGTTTTTCTAAGAGTCAACACAGACAGTTTGTTTATAAGTGTGCAACATTAATTTATCTTATCAAGTATTATAATACAGTTAAACGTGCCTAAGTCGACTTTCCCTAACTTCAATAATTTCTAAGTCCATCTTATTTTACATGCCTAATTGTTGTGTATTCCATTAATTAACAATTTGTAAGTCAAATTTTATCTAAACTAAAGTCGAAACATTTTTAAATACCATTTAGGATTCGACTTAGGCAAGTTCAACTGTACAATCATATTCTTGTTTTTGCTAATTTTATTAAGGTAAATAGATATTGACTAAATATTTTGGTTCTCCAACTATTAAATCAAAATGGTTTTTTTTTACTCCATATGAATTGTATATAAACCATAGCACCTTCTAGGCAAAAGTATATTGAAAGATATAATTTAACCATTAATTTTATCAATAAAAGTTAACCAAAATATAGTTTTTATATCTTGTCCCTATATTCATTATATTATTTTCCTTTCACCTGTGAATTTTTCAGGGAATTTTTCTCAAGTACACTTGCCTTGTATAGCACAATATAGTATACCACTATACTACCATATTGCATATGCTACATAGAGTAACACATATTGCATTAAAATTATGCCGTACACTGAGTGTAATATAATATTCTATAAACTCCTACTACTGTATGTCCGAACTTAATAGAACTGCTATTTACAACTGAAACTATTAAATAAAATTGTACAAGTAATTCATATACAGATGTTTATTGAACTTCTGAAAAGTGCAGTATATTGAATTTTATAAGCTGTGGTGCAATAGTAAATGAATCCTAGAATATAACTAGTTTTCTAGGCATAGCATTTTATGCTATATGACGAAGGGGTTGGAGGTGGTCTTGACGACGGTTGTTGTTAGCACTCAGCACGTGAGAATTTAAGATGGATTCATTCCCAGTTTTCCCAGTCATCGAGATCGTCATCCGCTGACAAGTTTGCTGCGGCTTTGACATCTTCCTCCGTTACCTCAATGTCGTCAAAATCGTCCCAATCATCGCCTAAACTACTTGAATCTGAAAAGAGAAATTGGAGAAGATCTGTCAAAATTCAATCATTTTTACAAATTGACAACTAATGAGTAATCACGACTCCATAATTATGAATCTAAACACATGAATGAATACTAATAACAACAATGAATACAATATTTGATTTGAAAGGAAACATTTTTTTTCAATCTGTTTTTTTTAAAATAACCATACAATGTAATTGATACAGTAGCACCAAAATAAAAACCAAAATAAAAAGTAAATTTACATCTTTATTATTATTATTAAACTTTACGGCAGAAACAAAATAAATTTTGTGTCTAAAGTAATAAGTCACAGCATAATCAAAATCATTTTTCAAACATTCCCTTCTGTTGGATTTTGTAAAGTATGCTTTTAAAAATGCTATCAGATACCTTTTTTATCTGACGATACAGGTGAAATATTTCCACTTGAATTATCAACTGCTTCATCAATGCTATCCAGTTGGCTATCTGTTTTTTCTTGTTCCTTATTTTCTTTTTCTATATGTGTTTCTTTAGTAAGTGAATCAGTTTCCTTTCCTTGATTGTTGTCATCTATTTTTTTCTCGTTATTTAAACACTGTTTTTCGTTGGGCTCGGAACTTAATACAAATTCCTCGGGTGTTAATCTACCAGACGTTTGTTCCGGTTTATTGGAATTGTCTTTCACAAGTTCGTAATCATTATGTCCATCATCGGTATCATGTACATTCAAACTTTCCATATCAGATATGGGATTTTCTTCCTTGGTGATAAGTAAGGTCGGTGATGTTTCCGTATTTTCTTCCGCCTGTGCCTTGCAAGGCTTAGCATCGGGGACTGTATCCCATGAATCATCTAAATAAAAGTAAAATAATACCAGATTTTTGTATTTTGTATTAGAAAATAATTCACATTTCTCTGTAGAATTATTGACTTTTCATGAACCCTTTTTAAATTACTATAGTTATTATTAATGTTTTTTAGCAATTTATGAAAAGGTGAAGGCATGGATTTTTTTTTGTATTACTATCTTATTGTTGAAACATACCTTCATCACCCCATCCAAGATCTTCCTCCTCCTTCATCGATGATGTCATATCAGCCCGTTCCATTAGCGCAGCCTTTCTTGCCTCATCCTGATCAAGTTGATGAATTTTGTAGAAGTATCGATTCCAGAAATCATCATGCGATACCACTGCAGGCACCTTCAAATTAAAATCACAGGTGAGAAAAAAATAATATAATAATTAATTTTAAAAAAAATACTAATTAATAATCATTATGATTAAACAAATATTTGAATATAAAACTTACCAATTTTGTGTATAATGATCGTACATTGGTGTTGACTATGAGTAGTTCTGATATTTCTCCTTTGTTATCTTCTAGGCTAACAGACTCAAGCCATTTCTCATAGTGATCAGGTGGGCCATCAGGCTCATTGCAGTAAGTTCCGGGCTCTGTCTGTATCGCATACAGCTTAGCCTAAAAATGGGAAAAATGTTAGGTCAAAATTTTTATGTCAGCTTGTAAAAGCGACTTAGAATGAATGCAATGTGCAATATTTACTAAATAAATGTACTATTATTATTTGCTGTATAAATATTATTATTATCATTGTCGTCAACTGATTTAATCTACCTAATTTTTAACTAAATTTATTACGATTTCTCTACCTTTTTTCGATCAAATATATGAGCGCCATCTTTTGTCATGAGAACTCCCTGTTTCTCATCCTCATCTAATCCGTAATCTTTCGGAGACAGTGTTTCAGTGATTCCCGACAACAATCTAGAAAATCCCTCTGTCACTTTATTACCGCTTCCAGCTGCTGATGCATTATCAGACTGTTTAAAAAAATTATATAATTACAATATTTTAGTGTTTAAATAGTGTTCATAACGAATATACTTAGTGATGATAAAGCTTTACGTCTCTAAATCCAGGTAGGTAGATGATGCTTACAATATAATCATTTTGTTCACTGTAAACACAGCTAAAGGCACAGGCATAATACAAAATACTGAACTTGTTATGAAAATAAAATTCTAATAAAAGTCTTTTACAGAATTTCTATATAAAATCAAATGCTTATGTGATGATCAATTGATCTTTATTATAATTACATGATTATTTTTTTTGTATTGGTATCTTGTAAATAGTCTCTGTGCTTATATTTTCAGATTTCTGTAAGGAAAAGAGGAAACTAGTAATATACACAAAACACAATTTATGCATCACCTTTATTTGTTCCTTGATGTTAGAAGCGCCACTTGCCACAGTAGCCTGAGTATCCCGTTTTACAGTTACACCAAATTCAACAAGATCTTTTTTCATCATATCCCAGGCTGACGCCGACTGCATAATTAAAAACATTTGTGAAACATTAAAGGCAATTAATTTAAAAAAAAGGATACAAAAATACAAACAACAATGTAGGATTAATTATCAAATATCACAATATTGATGATAATTAATAATAAAGCTTTTCATAAGCATAGCTAGGATGGTGTATGCTCAATTACCAGATGTATGTTAAATTATTAATAATAATTTAGTAGGCCCAACATATGCAAGTTTTTTCTAGAAGCAATAACTTAAAGGTTTAAGCATGCTGCATTTATTACAATGTTTATACTAATCTCATAAATATTCTAAATAATAATGGTTTCTACTACGATATATTAAAAGATTGCATCACTCACAGATCACTTCCTTTACATATTCTTTAATACTTAAAATATGGAGCTAAACTAGGCTAAAAACAATAACAATTACGAAATAATGATAACGAGCCTAGCTAGCTAGGCCTATCACCACAAAACCTACCTGCTCTTTGGCAGTCTGTAGCCACCCACCCCACCAACTCCCGCCATCAGTACCTCCACTGAAAAATTAAAAATGTATTATTGAACATAAGATTCAAAACTTCAACATGCTAAAGTATTAAAAGAATGATTTTTTGTTTAGTAGACTCACCCTTCGTCAGACATTGTTTTGATGTGACGTTATTGAAGTGAGAATTGAGGGCGCTATATTATATCATCAAAATACGGAAGTAAACATAACCTATTTGTTGGCTAATCTTGTTTTTATAGGTAGGTTCTCAAACTGTTTCTTCGTTGTTAGCTTATTATTTGCACATTTCAAAGGTTTTGGTTAGGAATTTATTATTCAACTAGAGTTTAACGACAACTAACTTGGGTGCTGGAGTTTCTTTGCTTCATAACTCATCCTTTAGGCCAAAAATTCCGCCCATCCAAATCATATTGCATGGATGGTGCTTTAGCCTTACTAATAAGTTCCGTAGCTCAGTGCAGTGCAGGTTGGCTTTTTACTACCATACCATAGTCGAATTACGTTTACCCCCGGGTTTACCATTAAATACATACTCATACATATATAGACTTGAATTTTACAAATTTAAAGATTTAAATGAAATTTTATCCACAATACTTTAAATCAAAACTATGATGATTATTGATATAAGTGTCTGATTCTGTTGAATCAGCATTCATTCATTCATTCATTCATTTCTTATATTCAATATATAAACTTATTTCCATTCATATTATTCATTTATTCATTATTCATTTATGAAAACAGAAAGACAATAAAAAAACATTTAAAAGTCCATTTATATAAAGTCTGAACGTTCTTTAAAAACCTAAAAAGAAGTCACAAGTAAACTAAGTTGCTAATAAAATTATTTTTCCTCATTTCTTTGCCTGTTCTTTACCATGTCATTATCATTCCATAATTAAATCAGTATTGATTCTTTGGTTTAGTTCTTCACAAAGGTGAAATGACTGAGTCAAGAATAAGCTTGAGGGAGAAGGCTTACATTCTAGAAAGACGATGTGAGTCTGTACCGAATGGGGGTATACACGATGTGGATAGGTACAATCGACCAGTCTTGTTGCAGCAGGCCAAATCTTTGAAGGTACCCTGTAGGCCTCATAATAGCCTATTCATCATTATTTTTTAAAACAGCAGTGTATAATTGTCATAAAGTCATGAATATTTTTTTAGATGATACAAGCACTGTTGGCCTAAGTTTTAACTGTAGATGCATGGCTAGTATATGATTATTTTTGAGGAGTGGAATAGCCAATACTCTAAATTATAATTACAAATCTAGACGGTCCAATTTTTTGCATGATTTATCAATTGTGAGTGCAAATTATCAAATGATGTTTTTCTACTAATACTTTATTGTTTCTTCTTTCTATAATACGGTAGTAGTAATAAATAATACTTTATATAATAGTAATAATTAATAATAAATTGTAATAATTGCTTTTATGATAATAATAGAAATTTTAATAGTAATTTTAACTATGCGATTTTTATTTTTTATTTTTCATCCTTGTGAGAATGCCGCTTTTTTAGGATTTTACTTTTTTTATTATTGATGTATTATTGTACATTTCAAAACTCGTATTTGTTTTGCAATAAATTTATATTGAATTGAAGAATTGAATTGAATACCATTATCAAACCATAATTTATTCAGAAATCAGCTCGTTCAAGAAAGTCTGTATTCAAATGGGATAATTCTGATGTTTTACGATGGCTGAGGAAACATCATCTGCAATACTATCAGCTGTATGGGACCAACTTCAAGGAACATGACATATCAGGTAGGAGGTAAAAATAATGTGGTAGGGGAAGGGGCCTAAATTGTTCAAAAATTTTTTTAAATGTAATAAAAAGAAAATTATATTCAAATATTAAGTATGAGAGTGCAATTTTCTTGCCATAATCACAAATTTTCAAACCTCAGCCCCAACCCTGGTGGGGGCTGAGGTGGTTTAGATCCTCCATCTGCGAAAGTACCTAGTAGCAGACTCTCAAGGGGGGCTGAGCTGCACCCCCCCCCCCCCAACCACACCTAAATTGTCCAATAAAAAAATGGAGTTATAAAGAAAATTAAATTCAAATTTTATCTCTGGAAGTGAAATTTCTGGCCATCTAAAGGTGTCATAATCACAAATTTTCTTGCTCAGCCCCAACCATGGTTGGCCTGAGGTAAGTAAATTAAGTATAGATCCTCTATCTGTGAAAGTACCTGGGCCCCCTCTATTTCAAATTCCTGGATACATTACAGTAGATTGATGCCTATAAAATAACTAATAAAATTCACCAAACTTCGTCAAATATTCTTAGCTTCCAGTGTTTTGACTATTTTTCTTCCTTTATTTTATATTTTCTTTTTTTTTTCAGGTCGAGCATTGATCAAGTTAAACCTTATTAAGTTAGAGAAGATGGAGATAAGTGACCCAACACACAGGTAATTGTCAAATTAAATAAATTAATTAATGTTATATATTATCATTTACTCATCCATTGAAATTATAAACATTTTGCTATCAAAAAATATATAAGTACCTTTGACTCAGCTACAGTGTTGTGTTGACGACTTCAAGCTGTTATTTCAGCCGCGAGGAAACCTCACAGGTTGAGGACTTGACTGAACAGATTTATTTTGCACACCAAGCAATGAATGATTCCCCATTGGGTGTTTATTGGCTCTGATTTAAAGCATGTTATCCGGGCGTGACCAATATTAAGATGAACATGCCCTACCGGCCACATGGTAGTGCACCACGACCACCTGATTGAGATTGCTGTGCGCAACCAGGCGTGCAAGCAAGTACCGTTGATTGCAAACTCTGGTCAATCTGCATCGTGATTGGTTGGCTTTGAGTACTGCCTGCTGGCCATGTGGTGCGAGTAGCGAGCCTGGTGGCTCAGTCGGATGTCACGACGTTGCCGCCGGACAGCGGAGCACGTCATGTCACCTTCTCCTGCTGCGCTTGCTGTCTGCAAGGGGTGTGTGATGACAGACTCGTCGGTGTGTTGTTTGCCGATTGATGGAAGAAGCCAGGCAGATGGTGTGATGCTGACAATGTCACCGTTTACCACACAACACCTTAGCGGATAGCATAAGGATGTTCCGTGGAAATTGAGACCAGACATCAGTGACTAAGGAGAGGTTCTTTATGTGCTATTGTGCATGTGTCTATCTCAAGTGGTACAGTATTCAAGAATCTTGCATAGCATGACAAAAGTGATGAAAATATGCTCAAGGGCTCTGTCCAAAGGTCTGTCTAGAGGTCTAAATAGGATCCTAAATCTACAGTATGCATTAATTTTAATGTAAATCTTAATCTATTTCTTAAGCTTTCCCAGCTAACAATATTACATTATTGTATGGTTTCCAAAGGGTCCACTTTCCACTGGAACAAACCTCCCCCAAATTAAGTCACGCTATGGGCCTGTAGGATATCATCTGCGAACTTCTATTGCTGAAGTGTAATTTTAAGCTCTTAAGTATAAAACTAGAAGGGTTTAAAGTACATCATGTGATGGTCAAATGTAAAGCCATTGATCTACATCTAAAGCTGATGGTCTAGATTTAAAGCTAGGTGGAACATTTAAAGCTATAATGTGATGGTCTATATCTATGGCCTATGGATAAAAAGTTTAACATCAGTCTAGGGATCTACAGTAAATCGAACAAGTAGTGGTCAGAGCTATGGAATTGCATCTAAAGAGGCCCTGGCTGTACATCAAAAGCTAGAGGTATGCATTAAAGCTAGGGATCTGTAACTGAAGTTGGGTGTCATTATCTAAATCTAGAGGTCTGCATTTAAAAGGAGTAGTCGAGCGGTCGAAGTCCTGCACTTAAAAGGGCCTAAAACTAAATCTAGAGATCTGTATATTATGCATTGGTCAGCAATCTACATTTAAATCTATATAGGCCTTATCTGGTGACTGGTCCAAGCAAGCTATCATGCTTGTCAGCAACTGAAGCTAAGAAATCTAAAGTTAAGGTTCACCATCTATATAAGCTAGAGACCTAAAGCTGGGAGCCTATATAAAACCGGGTGTTTCTTAGCTAAGGTCATGGTCTGTATCTAAGCTAAGGAGTTTTTATACTAAATGGTGTACAGACATACGTTAAGGGATACTTAATTGTAAGAGTCTAGATATTAAAAATACTTAAAGGGAATTGTAGCAGATTTACATCATTTTTAACAAGCTACAGAAGATATGTGTAACAACAAATTACAATCTAGATACCACACATCTATTTACTATTATTATTATTATTATTATTATTATTATTATTATTATTATTATTATTATTATTATTATTATTATTATTATTAATACTACCACAACTGTAAATTATTATTGTTTAATTATTATTATTGTTATTACGTAAATATGTACCTTATTATTCTTGTTATTATTGCTATAGCTATTATCATTATTATTATTAAGTATTATTGTTATTATTGTTGTATTAATTGTAAATATTATTATCAATTTTAAGAATATTTTATTGTTATTAGTCCTCAGCATTAACATTGTTTACTAATAGTTTTATTATGATTGATTTGTTGTTTGTACTATGATTACTGTTGCTCATTATTATTTTATTGTTGGTATTGTGGCTGTTATTGTTATATTAAGTATTATCATTTTTTATTATTTTATTTATCAACATTATCATTTGTTAAAATATTTTATTGTTATCATTAGTCATCATCATTAAGAATGTGCCTTATTTATAATTGATTTGTTAAATGTATTATTATTATTATTATTATTATTATTATTATTGTTATATTGTTGTTATTGTGGCTGTTATTGTTTTGAGTATTATCATTTTTTCAAAATTATCATTTGTAAAAATATTTTATTGTTACCATTAGTCATTAACATTAATACTGTGCCTAATTATTTATGATTGATTTAATGTTTGTATGATCATTTTTATTATTATTATTATTATTCTTATTATTATTATTATTATTATTATTATTATTATTATTAATATTATTTTTATTTTTATTTTATTGTTGTTATTGGGGCTGTTATTTTTATGCGTATTATCATTTTTTTATTCTTTTATTAATATCAACATTATCATCTGTAAAAATATTTTATTGTTATCTTTAGTCACCATCATTAATATTGTCCCTAATTTAATATTTATGATTAATTTGTTGTTTGTATAATCATTACTATTGTTTATTATTATTAATTATTGTTTTATTGTTGTTATTCTGGCTGTTATTTTTTATTATCATTTATTTTATTGCTTTATTAATGTCAACATTATCATTTGTAAAAATATTTTATTGTTATCATTATTCGTCATCATTAATACTGTTCACTGCATATAGTTTTTTATGTTTTTATCATCATTATTACTATTATTTAAAATATATTATTTATTATTGTATTATTTTTGTATATTATTATATTGTTTTAATTAATGCTATTGTTTAATTTGCATTATTATTAATTAATATTTATGCTTCTGTTATTGTTGTTGTTGTTATGATTAGTGTTATTAATTATGTTATAAATCTAATTATTATATTAAAAGTATCTTGAAAGGAAAAACATTTGATGTTAATGCGAATACTACCATAAGAGAGGAAGAAACAAACAACGAAGTACTGCAGAATACTGACCTCATACCATTGACAAATTGTCCCACTCTCCAAACAACAACCAAACACTGCCACCTCAGCATATGTGCAGTCATAAGTGACACCGCCGACAGCCCACCATGAGCTGACAGCAACCACCAATCAACAGACAACACACTTTGAGTCTGCCACCACTCTCCCATCACAGACTACAAGCGCAACACGAGGAAGCAACAAGCCGCGCCCCACTACCCAACAACACCGTCAAGACCTCTGACTAAGCCAACAGACGCGCTACTCACATCACAAACCGACGGACAGTGCACGGAGCCAGCCAGTCACAGTGCAGGTCAACCGGAGTTTGCAATCAACAGCACAAGCTGCATGTCCGGTCGCATACAGCGCACCCAACCGGAAGGCCGCGGGGAATTACCATATGGCCGACAGAACACATCCATCAGAACATTGACCAATCCCAGGCAACGTACTTCTTACCAGGGCCAACATACACGTAACAGGGTCTCCCCACTGCCAAGTGCACAATGGATGTTATTATCTATTCAGTGTCACTTTTACCTGCGAAGTGGTAGCTTATCAAATGTTGTACCCTGAAATTGATAAACATTTACTTAACACCAACAAAGCATTTTTTAAATAATAATAATAATAATATCAAATAATATATCACAATTTCATATTTACTGTAAAACCAATGCTTTTTTTTTATTGTGTAAAAACGTTGTCCTTACAAATATTACAGTGTACTGTTTCATTTCTTCTGAACATAATATATGAAAATTACATTTTAATGTCAATTTTTTTTACATATTAATGATCCATCTTCTTTATTTCTATCCTTTTGAAGTTGTAGTCAGCAGGGTGAACAACTATTCATATCGTTATCTTTGGTGTGAATGAATTATAGAAAACTAAAGATATTTTTTTAAACTACTCTAATTATATTAATACCCTAAATAGAGAAACATAAAAACATTTATTGACTACAAGAACATTTTTGAAAAGATGAAACTAACCTGTGTGTTGTTTCTGCTGGTTTGTATGCAGGGCTTTTTTATCAACCTGGGTGATAATTTTCACCAAGCATTACTAAATGTTTAGAAAACAATATTATTGATTATATTTTCTTCTACTAATTGTCATACATAATTACTGAATAATTTCAATATAGTGGTGATTGTGTAATTATCATTAAATATTGAAATTATGTAATATTTTTTAGTATTTAAACAATTTTTAGAAAACATTTAAACCTTAAGTATATTTGAAAAAAAATCTCTGCTTACCTTGGCGTAATGTATGCTGGTTGAGTTGAAATTTGGTTCGATTCCACCAGCCATAGAATGAATGGATTTGAAATTTGGTTTGATGTCACCATCCTTAGAATTAATGGATTTGAAATTTGGTTTGATGTCACCAGCCATAGAATGGATGGATTTGAAATTTGGTTTGATGCTACCAGCCATAGGATGGATGGATTTAAAATTTAGGTTTGATGCCACCAGCCATAAAATGGATGGATTTAAAATTTAGGTTTGATGCCACCAGGCATTAGAATGGATGGATTTGATGGTTGATTCCATTGCCACAAATTCAGCAATTCTTTCACCTGCATAGTGGTAGCTTATGAAACGGTGTAGCCTGAAATTGATAAACATCATTTTCCTAAACATGTGAACCTATTAAGATGGGTATCATAATAATGATAATTCATGTATTTAAAACAATTATTTATTTCAATGGACAAAAACATTGTCTTTGCAATTAATTTATAGTAAAAAAAAATGCTCAACTAGAGTAAAATTAAAACGTTTATTTTCATTCATTTTATTTTCATTCATAAAACATTTGAAAAAATGAATATAACTAACCTGTGTGTTGTTTAACTGCTGCTTTATATGACCAGATTTTGATATACATGGTAAACGATTCTCACCAACATTTCTAGAATTTCAGAAAACGTTTCAAGTAATTAAATATAAAGTTGTATATTTTTTACGAATGATTGTTATAATTTTGATAAGGTAAAAGATTTTTTGATTGGTTGGTTATCATTTAATGCACTGAAAGTTTGTTATTTTGATATAAACAGATTAGAACAATTTTTTAATCTCTTAAGGGTATTTGGAAATTGTAGTAAAATCTTTGCTGTTAAAGACTCCAAGCTTACCTTGGTAAACTCTTTGCTGGTTGAGTGTAAATTAGGTTTGATGCTACCAGCCATAGAATGGATGGATTTGAAATTTGGTTTGATGCTACCAGCCATAGAATGGATGGATTTGAAATTTGGTTTGATGCTACCAGCCATAGAATGGATGGATTTGAAATTTAGGTTTGATGCTACCAGCTATACAATGGATGGATTTGATGGTTGCTAAAAGTCCTGATAGTCCTGCTGGCAGTTGAGAGAGTTTTTTTTTTTTTTTTTTTTTTTTTTTAATTTGAAACTTGAATCCTGACTAATAGAATCTGCAGTTGAAGGTCCTGTAGTCTTGAAATTTCAGCCATCATTTTTAGTTCAGTTTGTAATTGTTATTTCCAAGTTGATGGGTATCTGTTAAATATTACGTGAAGAAAGTTATCAAATCCGATAATTTGCAGAGTCAGGTCGATCAAAAATCAGATATTATTGAGCAGTGGGTTGAGTTATAACATCTGATACAATTGCACTGAAAAGTTTTTTTTTCTATTAAGAGTAAATCATGATTCCTGGTTGATGAAGTCTGTTTTATACATCTGGTTGATTATTTCTGAAAAGATAAAGATTGTTTGATTTTTTGGCTATCATTAAATATTAAACGTTTATATTATTATGCTATAAAACAAAAACAATTTTTAATCTCTTAAGGCTATTTTGGAATTGCTAACATCTTTGCTGTTAAAGATTCCAAGATTACCTTGGTAAACTGTTTGCTGGTTGAGTTGAAATTTAGTTTTGATGCCACCAGCCATAGAATGGATGGATTTGAAATTTAGTTTTGATGCCACCAGCCATAGAATGGATGGATTTGATGGTTGCCAGAAGTCCTCATAGTCCCGCTGACAGTTGAGAGAGTTAAAGATTTTTTTTTTTTTTGATTTTTTTTTTTAAAGCTGCTGTTGAACTTCCTGTAGTCTCCACATTTGAGCCATTATTTTTAGTTCAGTTAGATGTGTATCTTAAATTGTTTAAAATGTGAAGAAAGTTATCAAATCCGATAATTTTCAGAGTCAGGTCGATCAAAAATCAGATATTATTGAGCTGTGGGTTGAGTTATAACATCTGATACAATTGCACTGAAAAGTTTATTTTCTATTAAAAGTGAATCATTATTCCTGGTTGATGAAGTCTGTTTTGTACATCTGGTTAATGATTCTCACCAACATTTCTGAAAAGAAAAGATTGTGTGATTTTTTTTAAATATTTAAAGTTTATAATATTTTGATATATATAATACAAATTAGAATAATTTTAATCTCTAGAGGCTCTTTGGGTATTGATAATATTATTTTTGCTGTTAAAGATTCCAAGCTTACCTTGGTAAACTGTTTGCTAGTTGAGTTGAAATTAGGTTTGATGCCACCAGTCATAGAATGGATGGATCTGAAGTTTGGTTTGATGCCACCAGCCATGGAATGAATGGATTTGAAATTTATGTTTAATGCTACCAGCCATAGAATGGATGGATTTGATGGTCGCAACACATCCTGATAGTGCTGCCGACAGTTGAGAGAGTAAAGTTTCTTTTTTTTTTTTTTTTTTTTGTATTTTTTTTTTGAATGGGTAACCTGAATCCTGTTGAAGGTCCTGTAGTCTTGAAATTTGAGTCATTTTAGTTCAGTCTGTAATTGTTAGTTCCAAGTAGATTGGTATCTGTTCAATTGTTGACAAGTTGAAGAAAGTCATCAAATCCGATAATTTGCAGAGTCAGGTTGATGAAAAATCAGATAATATTGAGCTTCAGGTTGAGTTATAACTTCTGATATAATCTTTACTGGTTGAGTTGAAATTTGGTTTGATGCTACCAGCCATAAATGGATGGATTTGAAAATTAGGTTTGATGCCACCAGCCATGGAATGGATGGATTTGATGGTTGCCACAATTGCTCATCACCATAAAAAGCTACATAATGTCACGTTAGAAATTGTCACATCCGGGGTAGTCTCAGTTAGGTATTGTCATATGCAGAGTAGTCACGATAGAGTATAAAGTGTCAAATCCAATGTTGTCATAGTTAGGTAAGTTCATATTTGGTAAGGTCAATTTTTTTTTTTTTTTAAACTGTACTTTGCACTTCACTTGTAGAAACCGTTTCGAGTCACAGATAAGTAGTCAAATCCGGTAGTAGTCGCTGATAGGTAGTTGTCAAATCCGATAATTGTCGTAGTTGGGTTGAGGAAAAGTCCGATATTGTCATAGCTGAGTATTGAAAAATCCAAAGTTTTTTAAAGATCGCCATAGGGTACAAGAATCCTGATAGTGTAGCTGGTGTGAGTTGAGAGAATTGGGATTTTTTTTTTTTTTTTTTAATTTCAAACCAGAATCCTGAATAATAAAATCCACTGTGGAAGGTCCAGTAGTCTTGAAGTTTGAGCCATTTTAGTTCAGTCTGTAATTGGTAACTCCAAGTAGATTGGTATCTGTTTAATTGTTGACAGCATGAAGAAAGTTATCAAATCCAATAATTTACAGAATCAGGTTGATGAAAAATCAGATATTATTGAGCTGTGGTTTGAGTTATAACATCTGATATAATTACGCTTAAAAGATTATTTTTTTTTTATTATTAAAAGTGAATCATTAAGTCTGTTTTGGAAGGTCCAGTAGTCTTGATATTTGAGTTAGTTTATAGTACAGTTATTGTTATTTCCGATTATGTTTTATCCGGTCCGTTGGTGGTAGCATGAAGAAAGTTCTTTACTGTACCCTAATCACGGCGAAGTTGTGGCGATCTTTTTTTCCATTTGGTTTCAAGTGAAGTACAGTTTTATAAATTGTTAGATAAAAGTAAGTGACACTATTAGTAGCTTTAATGGTGAGAGCAAAAGTGGCAAGTATAAATCTGAAGATTTAGCTCTTTGGGCCGGGGCCACTTGCATGGCCCCGACCGCCTTTTGGAGCAGGTTTCCCGGTCAGGATGGTCTCCATCTCTGCCAGGATCTCCTGCAAGTCTGGTCTGTCCTCTGGATTCCTGCTCATGCACTTCTCTCCAATTTTCTTGAGAGCAGCTACATAGCTGAATGAACCAAGTACATGAAGGATTTTTCCAAGACCATAGACGTCACTTTTGATGGATGGTAAAGCTTGATGGTAGAGCTCAGGTGCATAGTCGTCACGATCTAAATGAGTAGAGAAACATTTAAAATTCAGCAATCAATAAACACAGGTTACTCCAAAGAAATTAAATTTTGAGTAAGAACAAAAATTTATAGTCAATCATCTAAATTTGAAGATTACTTAAAGATTAATACATGTTGAAGATAGTTATTTATTGTAAAATTACATTTAAGCTGCTATTATTATACATACCATCGTTGAGGATATTGAATGGGTCTGTCTTTGCCTGGTCGTTCTTGAGGTTAAGACCAATTGGTGCATCAATCAAGCAGACATTTCCAAACTTGAAGATCTTCGTCTTGTAGCGAGTGTCTCTTGTATCGATAAGAACAGATTTTGGAGTCAGGTTACAGTGGAGGAGACCAGCCCTATGCATGGTGTTAACAGCAATGGTGGTATCAACTCCCATCCTGATGGCACTGATTCGAGAGAAGCCCATTACAAACTTTCGGGTGATGCAGACATCTTCAAGTGTGTAGGATTTGAAATTTTCTTGTTTGCCAACGAATTCCATAACAAGGGCAAAATCTCCGAGTCGGTGAGTGCTGACGCACATGCCCTTTAATAGGCCGTAGATGCAGGGGAATTTGTCATTATCTTTGAAAAGCTCCATAACGCGTGCCTGGATCATTAGCTTCCTTCCACTCTGGTTGGAACGACCTCCCTTGAAGATGAGGGATTGGTTTGACAGTTCACCACTTAGATGTCCAGCAAATACTGTGCTATTGAAGGTTTTGACATAGTATTGAGGTGTGTCAGTGTAACACGTTCCTATAAATGGAGTGACTTCCCCAGTTACGGTCTTGGTGAAGGGTGGAAGCACTTCATTTAGGCGTTCCCATGGAGTCATTTTCTGAAGTCGAAGCCGTTGAATCTCAGAACGAGTCAGCTCAGGAGAAAAAGGACGTTTGATGGTATGTTTTAGGAATTTATTGGGATCAGTGTTGAAGTCATCAGAATCTGAAGATGACAGTGAGGAGAAGGACTGTTTTTTTGGTGGTGTTGGTTTATCCTGCTCTGTTTTGGTTTCAGTCGGTGTCACAGCCATGATGCTGTTGCAAGCTGACAATAGGCTGTCGATACTTGGAGAGCGTTCACCAAATAGATCCTCCTCAGCTTCACTCTCTTCGGTTGATGGTGACTTGAAAACTCGCTTTGTGCTGAATCGTCGGCAAGGTGCCAGTCTTGATCCAAGAGCGGGTGGAACGATTTTAAGGATTTCATCGATGTCAGCTTGAAGATTTGCGTCTTCGTCTTCCTCATCGAATGAGTTTGTTGTGGAATAGACTTCAGGAAAGTCATCAGGGGCTGGAATTGTTTCACCAGTGATAACAAGATCTTCAGTTGTTGGTGTATCAACACTCAGTTCCGCAACCTCTTCTTCCTCTTCCGTCTCTAGCTCTGTTACATGTGGCAAATTTAGGCCAAGTTTTTCTTCCTCCTTTCTCAGCCGCCTTAGTGCTAATGCTGGAGGACCAGCTGGAGGACCAACGAGTAGAGTAGGAGGTGGTTCAACTTTTTTGGACTTTGATTCGCGTTTTCTTTTATTTCCTCTTTTGGTAGGTTCTGTGACTGGTACAGAGTCTTCTTGTGTAGTCTCTTCTTGTGTAGTCTCTTCTTGTGTAGTCTCTTCTTGTGGTGATGGTATTGAATTTGAAGTTGAAGGAGAAGCTGGATGAGTTTGTGGTGGTGCTGCTTGCCTCTTTGAAGCAAATGGAAAGCAACATCCAAGGATCCGTCTCCAAAATGATAGTTCCTCTTTGATTTCCTGTTGACTTACAGGTGCAGGAACAAGTTGACTATTAAAAGAAAAAAAACCCAACAAAACATGCAAACAAATAAATTTAGAATTACCGTATCTAAAGGTGAGCAGTTATGGTAATTTTAATAGCTCAAAATGTGAACTGATGGTTGGTTACTATTGTAATATAAAACTAATCAGTTTAACTTGGTTATTTGCTAATAGTTAGCTAAAGCCTTTTGTAGCTTTAATTAAGACTAGGTTGACTAGGTTAACTATGAAATTGGCTGGTTACATTGGTTAGTTATAGGCTGCAGTAGAATTAGATACTGTACCTACTGTATGTAAATAGGTCAGATTTTGTAATTATTTAAAAACTGATGGATAAATGGAGTGTAACACCCCCCCCCCATTATTAAATATTTTAAAATATGTATTCTATTCGCCATTCTTAATTTTTTCATCTAACATTCATTCAGAAGTTAGAACAAGATTAACATGTTTAATCTGAAAACTTTAAAAATTATTATATCTTTTTTCATCTATCTTGGAAATTTTCTGCTCACAATGAACAAAAATTTAGTTAAAAATTATATCATAATGTAGAGTTGATAATGTTTGGTTTTAAGTAGTGTAGGCATACCATACCTTTGAAGCCGGACTAAGATTTATTTATAAATATATTCATACAACAGAATAACATAAAAAAAATTACATGTAAGTAAAATCATAACCCAAGTTATTATTTACAAGAGAAATGTGATACTTAATAATTATATTACCATAGATAATGTAAGTACGTGCTCTCTGTAATCTCATAGGAAAACTTTCTAAAGAGGGGATGGGGGGGGTAGTAAATAATATCGTAAAAACAATTAACAAAAGAACAATATGATATTTAATATTGATATTACCATGTGTTGACATTCTCTCGCGTAATCCTATACAGGATTGTTTTGAAGATACTGTTGAAGGTAATGTTACTTGCCATCATTCATTTCAAAACTCCAAAATCGATGAAAAGTTAAGAGAAGAGTCCATCAACTTCCTTTTGTAGTGGTTTAACTTGTGGAACTGAGAATAATTAACCAAGTTTCTTCCTTTGATTATCTATGCATGTGGTCACTCATGCATGAATTCTGCCTTCTGATTGGTCGGTTGTTTATATGGAAGCCAGGTTGTCCAATGCTTCCTTTTTTGGTGGTTTTTCCTTTGAAATTTGAAGTTACTTCCTTTTTGTTTAGTTGATTACTGAGTAATTATTAGGCATTTTTAATTTTTTTTTAGTTTGGCATGTGTAGGATGATCACTTTATTCATATTCAATAAAAATCTCATTTTTGAAAATATGTCACTTACTTCCTTTTGTCATGGGAGGGCAGAACTCTTACATTAAAATCATGATTTCTTATGAAGAGCTTGCAACATACTGTAATTATCAAAAATTTATTTTAAAAAGAACAATAATATGAAGCCACTTACATTGTCTGTTTCTTTTTGTGTGATTTTTTGTGGAAAAGATTGCGAAGACTTCTTCGTCCAGGCATTCTAAAATAATTAATAAATAGTTGTTAATAATGGTATTGATAAAATATATGATTGAGTGAATAACTTATTGAAATAATTGTTAAATATATAGGTCAGGTAGGTGAATTAAAAACAAAGATGTATTAAATATTTAATTAAGCTCAATAATTAATTTTTAAATAAACCATTGAGTGAATGAAATATTAATCAATTTACATTGACAAATTATTATATAGAAACATAGCAGAGTAATAATATGGTTTGAATAAAATATAGTATAAAACATTAGATAAATTATAAAGTTTGGTAATTATTTGAAGAAATTAATTAGTTAATGTCAAGCCAAGGAAATTAAATGTGGAATTGATATTAAGGCAGTGAACATCTTCATGAAAGTAAGTGAGGGTGTGAGGGTGCACTACAACTTTAAACAACAGGCAAAATGGAGTTATAGCCTGTAAAATATACTTTGTAATATAAACTAATAAATGTAACATTTTAATTAATTTTGTTTATTAAAGGATTAAACTAATTTATTTTATCAAACATTTGTTTAAATGAATAGATAATATAAATTATGATATTTCTGTTAAGTTACTTGAATATTAAAAATGAAAATCTGGTCAGGTATTAAACATCAAATTATTATAACCAATAAATGGCACATATTATATAAATGATTATAAATTAATATTATATGAATTGGTTAAATATGAATTAACAGATTAATAACAACTAGGAAACTTTAGTAAAGTTAAATAGAGTATTAATATAAACATTTTAGAGAAATGTTAAAATGTTAAGATTTCAAAATATAACTATTAAAATAACTGCAAGAATATGTTTTAATAAAATATACTTACAACTTTCAACCTATTCACATCTTTAAATATAATATAAATTATAATTGGAGGAGAGAAAAAAAAACAAACTTAAAGTCACGTTTATGATAAATTGAAAATAACTAACCCTAAAGTATATAATATGCTTAGTCAAAAGGGGGCGCTTTTTTACTTTCGTGAATGTATCGAAATTGTTTCGTTTATAAACTACGTATGGTGTTTTAGAAAGTAAATAGAAACAAGTCAGGTTGCGTGGTTACGTACCACACAGCGCGTTTTGTTAACTTTATGACTAAGAAATACGCATGCCCACTGCTGAAAGTCTATCTAATTGGACAGAAACTTATGACGGTAGTGCGACAGAAACTGTTTTAACCAATCAAGAGACACCAGTCACCACTTGCTCTGCGCATATGTAGAACACCGAACATCAACACACACGAACGATGTGTGCGTGACAATCGCTGTCACGCGCTGTGTAAAGGGGTGCCAGCGCATGCGCTACAGAAGTTGAGTTGGCGAAATGAAATTTATATACAAAAGTTTTTGCTGAAATAATATATTATTTTATTAAAATTTTGGTATTTTAAATTACTGTGACTGTACACACGAGAGATTGGGTATATAACTATTGCTCGTGATGGAAAACATTACTGAAGACTAAAGAAGTACACCAACTACTTCCTAAAACTACTTCCTTTATTTTTAGACTAGACTAGACCATCGAAACATGGCGGCCTACGAAATGAATGATATGTCTTACCATTTTAACCACTAAATATTTACAACGTATACCTATCAAATACTATCTAATGAACTTACATTGTCTTTTTTTTAAGTTATAATTTCCAGACTAGAAGAAAAAGCTCACTCAAAAGTAAGAAGAGCGCTTTTGTTTTCGTGAATGCATTTCGTTTGTAACTATTGGTCGGTGTCTGCAAAGTAAATAGAAACGAGTTGCGTAGTTACGTACCGTATTGCGCGCGACAAAACTGATGTTGAGCCACTGACTGGTATACGCATGCGCACCGGTACTTCTATTTATTCAAGTGGACAGGAAAATGTCGCGTAATAGAGAATAATATTTGAACCAATCAAAAGAGACTTCATCCCTCGCTTGCGTGCGCACATGTAGAATGCAGAACATCGAAACATCACTATCGCGCGCTGTAGCTGCGCATGCGTGACAAGTTAAGTTGGCGAAATAAAAGTCTAACGATACTACTCAAGTTTTTGCCTAAAATATATTATTTTAATAAAAGTTTGTATTTAAAATACTTTGTCGTAATACGCATTAAAGATTGGGTATATAACTATCGTTCGTAAAGGAAATTATTACTGAAGTCTGATGAAGTACCCCGACTCTTACTAATCTATTCCATTTAATTTATTTACTTACACTGTCACCCAGGCCTAGGCTGGACTATCGAAATATGGCGGCCTACGAAACGAATCCATCTTAAATATGTCTCTATTTATCATGTTAACTACTAAATGATGCACAACGTATGCTTATTAAATACTAATGAACTTACATTGTTTTTTTGAAAAGTTAGAATTTCCAGATAGTCAAAAACTAGAAGAAAAGTTCACTCAATAGAGCGCCTTGCTTTTCGTGAATGCATTTCGTTTGTAACTATGGTCGGTGTCCGCAAAGTAAATAGAAACGAGTTGCGTAGTTACGTACCGTATTGCGCGCGACAAAACTGATGTTGAACCACTGGTATACGCATGCGCACCGGTACTTCTATTAAAGTGGACAGAAAATGTCGCGTGATAGAGAATAATATTTGAACCAATCAAAAGAGACTTCATCCATCGCTTGCGTGCGCACATGTAGAACGCAGAACATCGAAACATCACTATCGCGCGCTGTAGCTGCGCATGCGTGACAAGTTAAGTTGGCGAAATAAAAGTCTAACGATAGTACTCAAGTTTTTGCCTAAAATATATTATTTTAATAAAAGTTTGTATTTAAAATACTTTGTCGTAATACACATTAAAGATTGGGTATATAACTATCGTTCGTAAAGGAAAGTATAACTGAAGTCTGATGAAGTACCCCGACTCTTACTAATCTATTCCATTTAATTTATTTACTTACACTGTCACCTACCTAGGCCTAGCTAGACTGGACTATCGAAATATGGCGGCCTACGAAACGAATCCATCTTAAATATGTCTCTATTTATCATGTTAACTACTAAATGATGTACAACGTATGCTTATTAAATACTAATGAACTTACATTGTTTTTTTGAAAAGTTAGAATTTCCAGATAGTCAAAAACTAGAAGAAAAGCTCACTCAATAGAGCGCCTTGCTTTTCGTGAATGCATTTCGTTTGTAACTATGGTGTCCGCAAAGTAAATAGAAACGAGTTGCGTAGTTACGTACCGTATTGCGCGCGACAAAACCGATGTTGAGCCACTGGTATACGCATGCGCACCGGTACTTCTATGAAGTGGACAAAATGTCGCGTGATAGAGAATAATATTTGAACCAATCAAAAGAGACTTCATCCATCGCTTGCGTGCGCACATGTAGAACGCAGAACATCAAAACATCACTATCGCGCGCTGTAGCTGCGCATGCGTGACAAGTTAAGTTGGCGAAATAAAAGTCTAACGATAGTACTCAAGTTTTTGCCTAAAATAAAATATATTATTTTAAAAAAAGTTTGTATTTAAAATACTTTGTCGTAATACACATTAAAGATTGGGTATATAACTATCGTTCGTAAAGGAAAGTATTACTGAAGTCTGATGAAGTACCCCGACTCTTACTAATCTATTCTATTTAATTTATTTACTTACACTGTCACCTAGGCCTAGGCTGGACTATCGAAATATGGCGGCCTACGAAACGAATCCATCTTAAATATGTCTCTATTTATCATGTTAACTACTAAATGATGTACAACGTATGCTTATTAAATACTAATGAACTTACATTGTTTTTTTGAAAAGTTAGAATTTCCAGATAGTCAAAAACTAGAAGAAAAGCTCACTCAATAGAGCGCCTTGCTTTTCGTGAATGCATTTCGTTTGTAACTATGGTGTCCGCGAAATAAATAGAAACAAGTTGCGTAGTTACGTACCGCATTGCGCGCGACAAAACTGATGTTGAGCCACTGATATACGCATGCGCACCGGTACTTCTATCCGAGTGGACAAACAAATAATGTCGCGTGATAGAGAATATTTTAACCAATCAAAAGGGACCCCATTCTTCGCTTTGAATTGCGCGCATGTAACACAGAGAACGTTGTAAGCTTGACAACTGTTGCGTGCTGCGTAAATGGCTTGCTGCGCATGTGCAACATAATGTCAAGTTTGCGAATACAATTTTATTAACTATTTTGCTTATCAATATTGTATTTTTTATCTAAAAGTTTGGTGTTTTTTGTTACTTAATGCCCATGAATGGTCATTATGGTTAACGATCCTTTTGGAAATTACTCAAAACTGAACAGGGAGTACTGTTCCACTGTCCCTAGCCTAAACTACTTTCTTTTTATGCCAGGAAAGAAAAAAATGGCAACCTACCAATTTATCTTTAAACTATGTCTATTTTGTCAACATTTGTGATTTTAAATACTAAACGTACACAACGTTATACTTATTAAGTACAAATGAACTTACCTGTTTGTTTTTTGTTGTGTTTTTAATTTCCAAAAAGGAGCAGAAAAGGCTCACTTGAGAGAGCGCTTTCACTCTCGTGAATTCACGATTGAAAGTGTTTCGTTTGCAACTATGGTGCCTGATGTAAATAGAAACCAGTTGCGTAGTTACGTATCGCGCACTGCGCGACATAACATGTTGAGCTAGTGAAGTAACAAGTTGAGCAGTGAAGTACGCGTGCGTGCATCAACATCAAAATGGTCGATCAACGACAAGATGGACTGCCAGCGTAGGCCCAGGCCTCATCTCTGTCTCGTGCTCACATTATGGCCTTCTTTTTGTCTTTTTTGGAGTAGATACAAGATACTTTTCAAAACTGTTGTTTTCTGTAACTAAGTTCCATTGCCTCTCTGTCCATTTTTACAACACTTGCAACAAGCAAGAATTGGAGTATGCCGCTGTTGTTGCACTGCATGCATGCACTGCCTTTTTTTTTGGCGGTCTGATTTTTTTTCGGCAAATGTGAATGTAAAAAATAATCCATCGTGTACTCCTCGCTTTGCGTCTTTTTGCAATTCAGTACGTAATTGTGTCTAACGAAGGCTTAGTGTATAATCCACAAAAAAAATCTTCCAATACATAGCTCCTGGGTATTTTCTCCATGTTTGTGGTGGAATAGCCAAGGCCTAGCTCAATAAAACCTTCTTGAACGAATGTGGCTCATTGACGAACGTTTTGGATTTGATAATTTTTCACGCAACGCACGCGCGCGCATGTATCCAATTGGCCAGTTGGAGAATATTTTTTTTCTGCTATTGATTCGTGATTCAGTGAGCAACCCCTACTTCATGAAGTTTCAATCTCCCCTCCCCCTCCAGTAACCTACTTTGCACTAAAATTGCGGATGAAACTTTTTTGATATAAAAAGAAATATTTCTACATCAATGACCAAACAATACAAACGAATTACAAATTATCGAAGTAAATGCCATCAATTCATAACCAAAATTCTTTCAAAATAAAAAAGGCAACAATTAAGCAAGCTAGCTACTGTATTTGTTATTAAATGACTAATTTTGTGGCTTTATTTTTTCTTTCAGAACCGACCTCTTAGAATATATTTTGCGTCTTCGTTTGAAACACGAACAAACAGAACTTCGGTTGCTATCTAGCAACGTCATGAGTATATATACTTACTGTGGACTGGACATAATTTGTATCTCAGGGGTGGCCCTCCTCATTGGGAGAGCTCCCCCTACCCCCGTCGTGGAAAATTACCTCAATTCGTCGGGGAGAAAAAAAATTATACATGTGTAGACACTCAATAAACTCGATTAAATAAGCACTTGAAACCCCTAAATTGTTATATTTATTAGGGGCTTCTTCCCCTTGACTGCTTTCGAAAAATTTTGAGTGACACCCGACCAAACTCCACGTCTTTGCTCTCATCGAGGGATCCCCCCACCGTCGGGCAAATCCTGCCGCCGCCCCTCTTATTATATTAATCTTGCATCTTGCATGTACAACGTAACTACATTAATAACATGAGACTCAACTCTCACTATGCAAAAACATGTTTTTTTTTTGTTTTTTTTATATCACATCAGTACTCTTTGAAATCTAATCCTTAACAGAGTGCCTTATCAGTTTTCCTTGTAATAAATCTATTACATTCTCTGTGTGGGTTTTATTTTTGTATATGAAAATAATATATCTATGCAGGATGTAAAGGCCAATATAATATTCGCATACATTGTTTACTAAACTGAAAATATAAAAAACGTCACAGGGAAATTCCATTCAAATATTAACGTATAGGCGGCCTAAGCCATTTGTTATTTATGTGACTTTTTATATTATGACAATGATTTTTGGTGATGCACCCAATACATTGATACGTGGCGTCATTGGCAAAACTCAGTGCCACAACTTTTACGTACAGTATTTGCATAATTATAAAGTCTTTTGGTATAGTATAGCATGGATTTGCAAATTTGATATTAAGATTATACACGTTATAAACGTGCTATTAATGTAGCCTTACCGTACTTATTGTATCGTAATTGATAAATGTTTCTTTTATTTGTACAAAAAATCAATAAAAGTTTATCTAATTCTTGTATACAGTAATGTAGTGTCATCATTACGGTCGTTATTGAATTGGTTTTATTCAGTCACCCAGTCATTCTCTTATAACCACACCTAGTGGATGCTCACTGTTATTATGCAGTTAAACTAAATACTTAAGAAATAAAAACGAGTGACCAGTCAAATAGAAATTGAAAATGCACAACGCACCGTGTCTATGCGCACAACTTTTTGATGATTTTTTTTTTTTATTATTTGTTTTGTTTTTCATTGTTCATTCGACTCTTAATTGTTCCATCATTGTTATGCTTTCACATTTGACATTTTAATACTTACGTCCTGACACTATGAATTCCGTGTTTTAAAATGATTAAATCAAGGAATTTCATGTTTTTAAAGTATGATTTAGGGAAGTGTCCCCTTAATAGTGGTGTCCCCAGAATAGGGGTGTCCCAAAGCAGGGGTTCCATTGTTACTTCATTCATAAAAGCCTCTTCATATCACCCACCATAAAATAAATCTAAATACCCTAAAAATGAAATTAATATAAATTTGAAGTACTCATAGAACCACATAAATTTTCAAATATTTCAAGAAGTTACATCGAAAAGAAATCTGTGATTTTTTTGTAGTTTCACTACAAAACAAATCTTAAATTTGCTGCCAGAAGTATTGGTAGACATGAAGACATTTTTAGTGACGAGAAAACTGCCATTTAAATTTTCATCTAAAAGTCAAATACATTGAAATAAACAAAACTAAAACTTTCAAGTTATCTCAAGTAAAAATCTTTTGATAGTATAATAATTGAACATGAAACTATTATACGTAAGCATTACGAAAGTAAACTGACGCAGATGGCCAGACACACTTATAATGCAAGTTTGTTTACTGTATTTTTGATTTCCTTTTTATTAAGTATCCGTATTAAGTGAATTTTCCAAAATCTGAAGAGAATATGCGACCCATCATGATTTTTCCACGACCCAAGCATTGGGTTCGCGACCCATAGGTTGCAAAACGGTGGCCTATACCACCTCAGGCCCACGGTTGATGGACAATTATGGTTATAGTACCTAGATAACCGGAAATGGCATGCAGAATATAATTTTCCTTTTATCTCCATTAAAGTAGGGTAGGGTAGGGCCTTTAATCCGCCACTGGATAGGCCTAATAGTTCTAAAGTCGATGTTAGAGACACATTATGCTGTTATGTATCAACAAAGGCCTTTTGGCTCAGGGTACTATCGAGGAAACTAAGAGGCGGGGTGGGGGGAGGGCGAATGGAGGACCGCACTGAGTTAGTCATCCTTATGAACCTTTTTGATTAAGTGGTGGCTTCAGGATATAGCCTAAAAACCAACGGGGTCCAGGGACGAGGCCATGATGGGGATTCATGTGGAGGCAGGCCCCTTTGCGCCTTGAAAAACTTTTTTCCCATTTAAAACTGTTATGAGACATTGTTAAAACGTATTATGCATACAAATTTTATGAAAGAATAAAATATATATATTTTTTTTTATTTTTATGTTCCTAAAAATCTCAGCCACAGGGGGACTGGCCTGTTCCCCCACCCGCTGTCATCGTCACTGCCATGAACACATGGCGTAACACTGGGGCTGGGGACCCTGTGGCTTTCTGAGATGCCAATCCCATTGTGGGATTTTTGATGTGCTCGTTTTTAATATAGTTTGAGGGACTTTCACTGATGGGTCTTTACCACATCAGGCCCACCATGGTTGGGGCCGAGAAAATTTATGATTATGGCACCTCTATATTGCTGGAAATGGCACTCACAGATTTCAAATTTGAATATAAATTTCTTTTTGTCTCCATTTAATCCATCACTAGATAAAACATGATACAGTTACGGACGTCCTACAGTCGATGTCAGAGACACATTATGCTGTTATCAACAAAGCTCTTTTGGGTCAGTGTGCTAGATCGAGGACCTATATGGTCCTCTGGGCCCCTAGTGGTCAGGGGCCCTGCAGACAGCCACACGAGAGCATACGCGTCATGCCACTGGTCACCAATTAAATATGTCAAATAAACATGATAGTATGCAGTCAAGTCGAGAGGGTGGGGATGTTCCCCAGGCCCCAGCGAGGCCGGGGACAGAGGCCTTTTCAACATCCAATTAGGCATTTAAATTAAGCATCTTAAGTGCGCAATAGGCTGCATACCCTGGGTGCAGTAGGAAATTAGCGGGAAAAAAGTGAAGGAAAATTTATTTTTGGTTTTTCTGAATCAGTAGGCCTATATCATATGGTGTCTCAGAAAAAAAAATCCCCATTCTTAGAGATTGGGCAATTTCTTTATAGCACTTTGATGGGGGTAGGTGAAATAAATGTATGTTTTTAGTCACTTTTACATATGCTATGTATATCAAATGTAACAAGAACTTGGCTAAATAGTTACTCCTCACTCTCGTTAAAAAATTTAATCGGAATAATGACGTCATCACAAAA